GTATTGTGTAGAGTGTATGAATCTTTTTTATATCAATCAATAAAATCTCGCCCCTCTTGGGCGGAAAGACATGTGAGTAATGTTTGAAAAGTGCATAAATTTACGATTTTTCACCTATGACGATATAGGCGAAATAGGCTTTTTTCAGCAATGGATTACACATAATTTTAAAATTTTGTACCCATCGACTCAAATTGTATTGTGTAGAGTGTATGAATCTTTTTTATATCAATCAATAAAATCTCGCCCCTCTTGGGCGGAAAGACATGTGAGTAATGTTTGAAAAGTGCATAAATTTACGATTTTTCACCTATGACGATATAGGCGAAATAGGCTTTTTTCAGCAATGGATTACACATAATTTTAAAATTTTGTACCCATCGACTCAAATTGTATTGTGTAGAGTGTATGAATCTTTTTTATATCAATCAATAAAATCTCGCCCCTCTTGGGCGGAAAGACATGTGAGTAATGTTTGAAAAGTGCATAAATTTACGATTTTTCACCTATGACGATATAGGCGAAATAGGCTTTTTTCAGCAATGGATTACACATAATTTTAAAATTTTGTACCCATCGACTCAAATTGTATTGTGTAGAGTGTATGAATCTTTTTTATATCAATCAATAAAATCTCGCCCCTCTTGGGCGGAAAGACATGTGAGTAATGTTTGAAAAGTGCATAAATTTACGATTTTTCACCTATGACGATATAGGCGAAATAGGCTTTTTTCAGCAATGGATTACACATAATTTTAAAATTTTGTACCCATCGACTCAAATTGTATTGTGTAGAGTGTATGAATCTTTTTTATATCAATCAATAAAATCTCGCCCCTCTTGGGCGGAAAGACATGTGAGTAATGTTTGAAAAGTGCATAAATTTACGATTTTTCACCTATGACGATATAGGCGAAATAGGCTTTTTTCAGCAATGGATTACACATAATTTTAAAATTTTGTACCCATCGACTCAAATTGTATTGTGTAGAGTGTATGAATCTTTTTTATATCAATCAATAAAATCTCGCCCCTCTTGGGCGGAAAGACATGTGAGTAATGTTTGAAAAGTGCATAAATTTACGATTTTTCACCTATGACGATATAGGCGAAATAGGCTTTTTTCAGCAATGGATTACACATAATTTTAAAATTTTGTACCCATCGACTCAAATTGTATTGTGTAGAGTGTATGAATCTTTTTTATATCAATCAATAAAATCTCGCCCCTCTTGGGCGGAAAGACATGTGAGTAATGTTTGAAAAGTGCATAAATTTACGATTTTTCACCTATGACGATATAGGCGAAATAGGCTTTTTTCAGCAATGGATTACACATAATTTTAAAATTTTGTACCCATCGACTCAAATTGTATTGTGTAGAGTGTATGAATCTTTTTTATATCAATCAATAAAATCTCGCCCCTCTTGGGCGGAAAGACATGTGAGTAATGTTTGAAAAGTGCATAAATTTACGATTTTTCACCTATGACGATATAGGCGAAATAGGCTTTTTTCAGCAATGGATTACACATAATTTTAAAATTTTGTACCCATCGACTCAAATTGTATTGTGTAGAGTGTATGAATCTTTTTTATATCAATCAATAAAATCTCGCCCCTCTTGGGCGGAAAGACATGTGAGTAATGTTTGAAAAGTGCATAAATTTACGATTTTTCACCTATGACGATATAGGCGAAATAGGCTTTTTTCAGCAATGGATTACACATAATTTTAAAATTTTGTACCCATCGACTCAAATTGTATTGTGTAGAGTGTATGAATCTTTTTTATATCAATCAATAAAATCTCGCCCCTCTTGGGCGGAAAGACATGTGAGTAATGTTTGAAAAGTGCATAAATTTACGATTTTTCACCTATGACGATATAGGCGAAATAGGCTTTTTTCAGCAATGGATTACACATAATTTTAAAATTTTGTACCCATCGACTCAAATTGTATTGTGTAGAGTGTATGAATCTTTTTTATATCAATCAATAAAATCTCGCCCCTCTTGGGCGGAAAGACATGTGAGTAATGTTTGAAAAGTGCATAAATTTACGATTTTTCACCTATGACGATATAGGCGAAATAGGCTTTTTTCAGCAATGGATTACACATAATTTTAAAATTTTGTACCCATCGACTCAAATTGTATTGTGTAGAGTGTATGAATCTTTTTTATATCAATCAATAAAATCTCGCCCCTCTTGGGCGGAAAGACATGTGAGTAATGTTTGAAAAGTGCATAAATTTACGATTTTTCACCTATGACGATATAGGCGAAATAGGCTTTTTTCAGCAATGGATTACACATAATTTTAAAATTTTGTACCCATCGACTCAAATTGTATTGTGTAGAGTGTATGAATCTTTTTTATATCAATCAATAAAATCTCGCCCCTCTTGGGCGGAAAGACATGTGAGTAATGTTTGAAAAGTGCATAAATTTACGATTTTTCACCTATGACGATATAGGCGAAATAGGCTTTTTTCAGCAATGGATTACACATAATTTTAAAATTTTGTACCCATCGACTCAAATTGTATTGTGTAGAGTGTATGAATCTTTTTTATATCAATCAATAAAATCTCGCCCCTCTTGGGCGGAAAGACATGTGAGTAATGTTTGAAAAGTGCATAAATTTACGATTTTTCACCTATGACGATATAGGCGAAATAGGCTTTTTTCAGCAATGGATTACACATAATTTTAAAATTTTGTACCCATCGACTCAAATTGTATTGTGTAGAGTGTATGAATCTTTTTTATATCAATCAATAAAATCTCGCCCCTCTTGGGCGGAAAGACATGTGAGTAATGTTTGAAAAGTGCATAAATTTACGATTTTTCACCTATGACGATATAGGCGAAATAGGCTTTTTTCAGCAATGGATTACACATAATTTTAAAATTTTGTACCCATCGACTCAAATTGTATTGTGTAGAGTGTATGAATCTTTTTTATATCAATCAATAAAATCTCGCCCCTCTTGGGCGGAAAGACATGTGAGTAATGTTTGAAAAGTGCATAAATTTACGATTTTTCACCTATGACGATATAGGCGAAATAGGCTTTTTTCAGCAATGGATTACACATAATTTTAAAATTTTGTACCCATCGACTCAAATTGTATTGTGTAGAGTGTATGAATCTTTTTTATATCAATCAATAAAATCTCGCCCCTCTTGGGCGGAAAGACATGTGAGTAATGTTTGAAAAGTGCATAAATTTACGATTTTTCACCTATGACGATATAGGCGAAATAGGCTTTTTTCAGCAATGGATTACACATAATTTTAAAATTTTGTACCCATCGACTCAAATTGTATTGTGTAGAGTGTATGAATCTTTTTTATATCAATCAATAAAATCTCGCCCCTCTTGGGCGGAAAGACATGTGAGTAATGTTTGAAAAGTGCATAAATTTACGATTTTTCACCTATGACGATATAGGCGAAATAGGCTTTTTTCAGCAATGGATTACACATAATTTTAAAATTTTGTACCCATCGACTCAAATTGTATTGTGTAGAGTGTATGAATCTTTTTTATATCAATCAATAAAATCTCGCCCCTCTTGGGCGGAAAGACATGTGAGTAATGTTTGAAAAGTGCATAAATTTACGATTTTTCACCTATGACGATATAGGCGAAATAGGCTTTTTTCAGCAATGGATTACACATAATTTTAAAATTTTGTACCCATCGACTCAAATTGTATTGTGTAGAGTGTATGAATCTTTTTTATATCAATCAATAAAATCTCGCCCCTCTTGGGCGGAAAGACATGTGAGTAATGTTTGAAAAGTGCATAAATTTACGATTTTTCACCTATGACGATATAGGCGAAATAGGCTTTTTTCAGCAATGGATTACACATAATTTTAAAATTTTGTACCCATCGACTCAAATTGTATTGTGTAGAGTGTATGAATCTTTTTTATATCAATCAATAAAATCTCGCCCCTCTTGGGCGGAAAGACATGTGAGTAATGTTTGAAAAGTGCATAAATTTACGATTTTTCACCTATGACGATATAGGCGAAATAGGCTTTTTTCAGCAATGGATTACACATAATTTTAAAATTTTGTACCCATCGACTCAAATTGTATTGTGTAGAGTGTATGAATCTTTTTTATATCAATCAATAAAATCTCGCCCCTCTTGGGCGGAAAGACATGTGAGTAATGTTTGAAAAGTGCATAAATTTACGATTTTTCACCTATGACGATATAGGCGAAATAGGCTTTTTTCAGCAATGGATTACACATAATTTTAAAATTTTGTACCCATCGACTCAAATTGTATTGTGTAGAGTGTATGAATCTTTTTTATATCAATCAATAAAATCTCGCCCCTCTTGGGCGGAAAGACATGTGAGTAATGTTTGAAAAGTGCATAAATTTACGATTTTTCACCTATGACGATATAGGCGAAATAGGCTTTTTTCAGCAATGGATTACACATAATTTTAAAATTTTGTACCCATCGACTCAAATTGTATTGTGTAGAGTGTATGAATCTTTTTTATATCAATCAATAAAATCTCGCCCCTCTTGGGCGGAAAGACATGTGAGTAATGTTTGAAAAGTGCATAAATTTACGATTTTTCACCTATGACGATATAGGCGAAATAGGCTTTTTTCAGCAATGGATTACACATAATTTTAAAATTTTGTACCCATCGACTCAAATTGTATTGTGTAGAGTGTATGAATCTTTTTTATATCAATCAATAAAATCTCGCCCCTCTTGGGCGGAAAGACATGTGAGTAATGTTTGAAAAGTGCATAAATTTACGATTTTTCACCTATGACGATATAGGCTTTTTTCAGCAATGGATTACACATAATTTTAAAATTTTGTACCCATCGACTCAAATTGTATTGTGTAGAGTGTATGAATCTATTTGAACTTTTCGCTTGGTTGCACACAAAGGTCACCGTGAGAGTCACTTCACAGTGGTCAAGATATATACCGGTATCAGCAGGCTATACCGGTATCCCGCACAACTTCAAACTAATGGAAGATGCCACCTTAAAGACGAGTGCTGTTGGGGACAGAGGTGGGGCAGCGAGTGTGGTTATTGAGACTATATATCCAATTAGGGAGGATGAAGTGTCCCCAGTTTATTCAGCGGACAAGCCTTTGACGATTATGATCGAGCAGAATTCCGAGGGAGAAGAGTCATACGAAGAACCTCCATCTGAGGGCTTTGTATCACGACATGTATCTTGTTCTAGAAAACGAAAATTGGAAGCAAAGTTTTTAGATAAAAAATCAGTTATTTCTCTCTTATTGGAATCAGAGTCAAATATATCAATAATACCATGTGAACCAGAGTCAAATCAATATTATCTTCTGAAAGATAACAGAAATTATGTCTATGGTCGTCGAAGAACAAGTCGAAACACTTTCAATGTTGATAATCATAAATGGGATTATACATCACTAAAAAAACATTACTATGTTTTTTCGAATGGTGAATTCAAATATGTTGATTTTATTGGTGGTCAATATTTGATTCATGTTCCAAAAATGTCACAAGATAAGACAGAACGACAACCTATGTCTTGTCAACCAGAGCCTGAAAAGATTTTAATCATGAGAAAGTGGTATGGTTCAATTAGAGGCATTCTTAAAAGGCGAATTTCATACATTGAGAAATTTCCAGCTGGTATAAAGCCAAAACAACAGAATCTCATTTTGGTAGAATACTGTGAAGATGTCGACCATCATTTACAAAGAGCAAAAATGATGAAAATTGAAGGATGCAATGCTTACAGCAGTATATTTCAACCTGAAGAAGAAAATATAAATATGGTCGAACCGAGTCTTAAAGATTCTTCATTTTTTCATTTAACATCTATAAATCTAAAAGAAGTCGGAAATTGTCAAATCAATATGGGTGGTAATAACAATGGTCTATTTTTTGATAAGGATCGAGCAATTGAAATTTTGCTGAATGCTGAAACAAGTCTAGATGAGATTCCCCAAGGTTTAAAAGAGAATGAATATTTCATTATTAATAATGAAGATAATTATCGAAGGGCCTTAGAAGGAAAAAGAAGAACATATATAGATGACTGTGGTGTTTGGAAAAATGTATCAATGAAGAAGCATTTATATACACTCATAGATGACAAATATGTTTATGTTGACTATACTGGTGGTAAATACAAAATTTCCAATTTGACTTTAAGAGCACAAACTGAGAAAAATCTTGAAAAATCGCAGATCTTTGTAATGAGAAAAGTGTATGGATCGTTAAAAAGAGATGAAAACTACAAGCGTAGAATATGTTGGATTGATGAATTTCCCGAAGGTGTATTCCCGAAGCAGAAAAACATTGCACTTGTAGAATATATTGGAAAGTATCCAAACGAAGATGTTCCACATGGAAATCAAAAACTGCCTGGTGGCTTGCCATATGTTAGAACATCAGCTAAGCTCATGAAGGAACTGAAAGAAAAAGTTGTGCACAAGACTGCAAAAGAAATAATCAAAGAAATCGGATTGGATAGCAACCCAAAGAATATAAAACAATTGCAAAATTTACGCTATCGAAGTAATTTGAAAATTTCAGCAGGATCTGCTAATGATCAAGTTCATAATGATGAGCTTCAGCAGGTTTTGGCAATGGTTCATGGCCATTCATATGTTCAGCAATGTATATGCACAAAATACAAACCGCCAGTAGTTATTGCATACACTTCTCAACAAATGAATTCTTTCAAATACAGATGTCAAGAAAAATCTGGGTTGAATCGTGTTCTTGGTATTGACAGGACCCTAAATGTTGGGCCAATCAGTTTAACAATATTAACTTATCCTCAACCTAACTTATTATGTCGTAAAACATCACAACCAGCAGTGATGATGGGGCCAGTGTTTTTACATATCGATAAATCTTGTCAAACATATACATTATTATTTAATCATATAAAAGGATGTTTACTAGAAGCAGAGAAGGCTGATATCGATGGGATCAGTGTGGCCTGCAAACCAGAAGAGGAAAAAGCAATCATCAATGCATTGAATTTTTCGTTTCCTGCCGCAACTGTAACTCACTGCGTTGATCACATGAAAATGGATCTGAGAGACCATCTGTCATCAGAGATTTGTCTACCTGATGATGTTGCTGATAACATTATAAAGCAGATGTTTTCAACCCTGAGGGATGTGTTGAGGATTATGATTTTGATATGAAGTCGCTGCATTTACAGTCGGAGTATGATGCAACAATTCCTCAATTTGGTCCTTATTTTCGTAAAGTTGTTGAAAACATACGCCAGAGTCTGTGGCGACCAATATTAGAAGAAAGGCCTTTGCACAAATGGTCATTAGAAACTTGTAAAGCACTGGGACAACTGGTGCAGTCATGTGGAACATGGACATCTCTGACATTACCAGACTTACTTTTAAACCTGTATTCGATAGTTCAGTCACAAGAACAGGAAGAAATACAAGCACTTCACAACGAAGGCAGTTTTGCCCTTGCATCTTATGCAAAAAAATACCAAATTTCAAAAACTGAATGGCAATTAAAAACAAATAAGCAAAGAGCACGACTTGCTGAAAACTTGCGAAAAATAAGACCTGGTGTGCAAAAGAATGCTACAAAACCGCAAAGTGATTTGCCATATCAAACTCGCCCGTTACTAGAAGACCCGAAGACTATTATATTTTACAAAACTGGGAAAGATGGTCAGCTATACTACTGATGCACTTTTGTCTTGATTCAATACAATATCATATATGGTGGTACAAAGCTAGCTTTAAGTGGTCTCTACCACCCTTATTCAATGTTTTGTGCTGAAGTTATAATAAAGGCGAATAAAACAGAATTCATATTTATGATTATTCGCGATTGGAATAGAACGATCAGCTTCCACAGTACCATGGCGAGTGTTTCATTATACTTTTATTTGAACAAATGATCAAAGACAGCATAGATTATTGAATATTAATGACACAAGTTATACAGCATACATACATAATAATCGACGAAGCATCCGTAAAAGTCAAATAAACAATGAATGCCCGGGGTCGTAGCCATGGGATCAGTGGTATGGAGGATAGAATGTTAATCAACTTTGAACAATAAACACAAAATAATATATTGCACGAAATAATGTTAATAATACTAAGCACAAGATTATTATATACACAGAGAAGCTGAAATAAATATGTAAATAATTCATTTGAATGCTCTTGTTTGTATTTATCAATACACAATATAAATAGTATTCTAAACATTTTATGGTAAGTGGGCTGTGAAATAATTATATTTGTATAATGACAGCTACAGGCGGGACACTTCTGAGAAAATGACCAATAGCAGATATTATTTTGGGAAGAGATTGCTGGTCCAGGTCATTTTTTTCATTTACCATCCCAAAGCATCTAAATTACAGATGGAAGAAACCATTGCAATGCATGATTGGCAGCCAGTTTATACATAACAGGGATTTATTAAGATCCCTGTATTACCGATCATTTATTAACAATACTGATAATTGTTAACCTGCTAATTGTTCACTGCTCAAAATCTCATATCTGGTACTTCTTTATGTGTGAATGCTTCGTGATAATGTCTTTGGCTCAATTAACTTTCTAATTATGTAAGTGATCGAATATCAATTATAAGACAGTGTTTCTCAACACCCAATTAGGACCAAAAAGACATTTTAAATAAGTGCATCCTCACTAAAAGACATATAATTTGTGATGATCAGAATTGATTGAAAGACATTTTAGAGAAATCTGTACTAAATGAGTTTGGAATGTCATTTGAATTTTTATCCACAGCAGGGGATGTGCCCCATGGGTCATTCTTTGGTGGTACTTGCGGCTTAAGAGGTTTTGAAGTAAATGGCAGAACATATTGTTGGCCTGCCAGATGGAATGGATCATTTTGCACAGAAGGAACGGATTTTGCTTTATTAGAAATCGACTTAGGTGCTGGTGTTGGTCGCAATGGCACCAGTATATGATTATCAAGTGGTGTTGCAACCGTGAATGGTCCAGTTGAAAGATTACTCTGTGGTTTTTCTGCAACCATCGACATATTGTTTGGTCTCTGTGAAACATGAGGCTGACCCACTCTTGGTGGTGGAAAATTAGTTTCTTGCTTAGTGTACCAAACATTTGCTGATTTTGACACTGTTGGGAGTGGCAATCATTGTTGCAGGGGTTTTCCGAGGTGCTATTGTAGGTGGATTTGAATCCTTAGTTCCAGAAATTACACTAGGAATCAGTACCCCTGCTGATACAGGCCTTGGAGGCACATGTGCCGATGTGGGAGCATAAGGGTCCAGGTCCAATAGTGACGGCTCAGAGTGATTTTCGGGGATGAAAGCAGCATTCATATGTTGACTCCTAACCTTAGGCGGTCCCTTGGGTGGTGTCAATGGTAATGGAGGAGGCATACCAGCTGTGTTTGGAGGAGGAGCGGGTGCTTTCCGTTTAGGAACATGACGACTTCGAGCAGTGGCTCTAGGAGGTCTAGATGGTAATGGTGCAGGTTCAGGAATAAGAATAGTTGATGGCTCAAGCGGGGTGAATGAAGCAGTTGACTGGGGCCAATCGATAGACCTGGTTTTGCTGTAGGAGGTCCTGGCATTATTGATGGAGATTGCGATGGAAGGGGTGGAGGTCCTGATGGCATAGTTGGTAGGGTGTTTGGTCTTGGTGGAGCACGCTTCTTTACTGGTCCACTAGAAGGTCGGGGTGGTGCTGATACTTTCTTGGTTAACTCTGGATTTGGTGGCATGTAGCTGTAAGAATAATGTTCGCTTTCAAAAGCCCACCCAGGGTCATTTACATCTTCCATGACCTCCTTGTTTGATTCATTAATTGTATCAGTGGCTTCCGAAACAGGACTATCATATGATTGCGTACTTGTTTGATGATATGTATTATATTCATACCTTGGTGATTCAGAACTGTCTTCTTCATGTTCCGCATCATTATGGTACACATCATAATTATATTGACACGGTTCCCCCTCGTTTGCATATTTTTCAGCATATGATTCATTAGCAGAAAATGAATGTGAATGCTGTCGAAGTTCATGTTCAACATCTTCCTCCCAACCTCTACTTTTTAATGTGACATAAATCAATGTTCCATCAACAGAAGTTTCATTCAAGTCTGTGGCTCTAACTGCTGCTGTACCATCACTGAAAATAACCATCAGTTTCCCCTTGAAGTGTCGGGTGATGATAACTTCACCAATTTCGTTCAGCCTTGACATGATTGCTTCAAATAGTTCACCAGACAGTGGAATGTCACCAGTATTTTCTTCTTGGGTTAATGATATCAAGATAGTTGCATCTGGAGGACCTTGGGCTTCTACAAATTTATGAAATGTTGTATTGAGATGTTCTTCATCAGACTGTATAATATCGACATCAAGTATCGCTATAACGGGACGATGATCAGAAGTTTTAATATCAGCTTTATTATAATACAGCAATTTTCCAGGATTCCATTCTGGATCTTGACTTACTGAAACTAACGATGAGCCAGAATCTTGAGTGTCCGCAAACCATTTTCTTCGAAACCACAACACACGATCAGTCCAAGCTGGTGTCCTGGACTTTTCACTAGTATCATAGTCATCGGAAAACAAATCATACTTATAGGTTGGTGCAAAGTTAGTATCTCCTTCTAAAAAACACTGGAACACTCTTCCCTCTTTCTTTTCTGTACAGAGTTGGTCATTGCTTTGCAAAGATTTCCAATCCTTTTCAACAACTAATTGTTTAACCTCATCAATTGGCATATCTATCCGATAGTTCAGATCTCCACACCAGAAAATATAATCATGACAATAGATAGATTTATTTCCAGAGAAAACCATCTTCTTGGATATTTCAGCAAAATCATTATTTCGATCCTGTACTTGTCCTTGTCCAGCAGCTAGATGAGAGCATACAAAACACAAAGATGAGTTATGAAACTGCATTCGTATACCAATTCCTCCTTTGTTTCCAGTTGCACCCCCCAATCCAGTTTTTACAGTTCCAATTTCAACATCTCTAATATGAGGTGTATGATGCGGACGAACAAACACATAAAAGCACACACCAACAAGCTGTTCTGAAGCAAGAAGGACATACTTGTACTTGTTAGATATTGTCTTCTGCAATTCTATTCCCCAGGTATGTTGATTAGTATGGCTTGTATTTACAATGTTCCCAGCACTGAGTTCAACCATCTCTTGAAATCCAATAACATAAAAGTCCATTGCTTTATTCCAGTCAACCTCAGCATCATTATTGTCTGCAAGATTGCTAAAGGAGTCACTTGACAAACTATCTTTGAATATTTCAACATAGCTAGCTGGGAAAGTTCCTTCCAATTCATCAGGATTGTATTCATCTCTTGAAACCCTTCCCTTCCACCATTCACCTGTCATTTCAGTCACCTCAATTGTGTCGCCAGCAACAAAATCGAGATCGCCTTCCTGATGAGCTGGAAAGTCGTACAAAGCAGTATATCTTGGTAGCAATTTGGTGACATAAGCTGCAGGAAATATTCCATTACATCCATTGCAGGAACCTGACATCCATTCCCCATCCTCCAAGGCATGATGCACATCAATGATATCACCTGATGCGAATGACAAATCACCTTCTTCGGCAGAGGAAAAATCATACAAGGCCTTGTAAAAATTATTGGTTGGTGACTGTTCGCATTTGATGAGCCAGTCATCTAATGTTTGATCTTTATATGCCAGTGATCGGAAATGCTTTCCACCATTTACGTTCCAGGTTCCGATGGCAACTCTAATTGGCAAGATAGATGTGTAATCTTTGAATTTATCACACATGCCTCTCAAAACCGCTGTGGGAGCACGCAAGCAATCACCAGACATTAAATTGTTTGCCCTTGCCATCAGTTCAATATCTGCTGAGTTGGTACCAAGTAATGAGTAAATCAATTGCACCTTGTTTACTCTGGTCAAGAAAATTGTTTTGTATTGCACGTGTCACCGATCTTGCACCATCTTTAAATTTTGTTTTACCTTCTAAGGCTCCAGTACCAGCATACATTCGACTGATTAGATCACCAGTAATGGGCCAAGCCGTTTTGAAAGCCTCTCTGAATCTATCTTCAAGTTGCTTATTATTTCCAAGTCCCAAACTTTCCAGTTGCTTTGGTAACATCTGCATTCCAAAATACGTTTTTGTAGCTATTTGTACGATCCAAGCAATCAAGGCAATTAATCCTAATGACACCAGTTTGAGTGATGCGTAACTTTTCATCATCTTTATAGGTATAACATCCATAACTCTCCAGTTTGTCCCATATCTTTGTTTTCAATTTGGATAAATTTTCAGATTTCCCTCTACATTCACAATGATAATCGAAACAAAACATTGTTACTTCTTCACTGAAAGCAGACTTTTCATGGTGTAGTTGGAAAAGCCTACTCAACATGCTCTCGTCCCCTTTACTACCAAGTAAATTAACTATGAGACACTGCCCATAATTATCCACAATGCTTGAAAAATGTCTATCATATGTGGGCGCAGATGCTTCAAATCCTCTAGAAATCTTGATTTTATGGGATCCTACATTCAGGCCTGGTTGCCCCCAAAACAATGGAATAGAGCCACGAATTTGCATGAATGAAGAAACATTTTCGCCAAGTATGATTGCTTGTTCACTTTCTACAAAGTTTGCAACATGACCCTCATCGTCCGCACCTCGAACATTGAATCTTGTGCCAGCACGTTCGCAACTCAAACGTGATATAACCAACAGCTCTGGCTTGTTGAGCACCTACATAAACAGTTCGTATGTCAATTCCTCCACACATAACTCTGAAGAGCCACAAGGCGCAATCAGCACCAAAATGTTTGAAATGCAGGTGCAAAAGGTGATTCCAAAAGAAACGTTGGTCATCATTCTTCTTGTCTTGATCCTGGAGTGAAACAGTCAAATCCAAAATTTCACTCCATTCATTGCAGACCAAGTAAAATAAAATTTTCCAGAGCTGAGTAACTTTTTAACATCTGTGCACCTGCTATCTGCATCTACAGTACCATTTTGCAAAGAAAAAAAACTTGCTCCAGTAATGCGGAATACTTCGCAGTTGAGTAACTTTCCAACTGGCATACAAGCAGTCACAAGCACCAGGTATAAGCTGCGGGCTTTACCAGCTTTGTCATCTCCAAACATCATAACTCCAAGACATCCATATGCATCAATTGCCTTTGTATAATCCGACTTAAGTTCTTCTTTCTCCTGCGGAGTAAGAGATACGACTGTTCCTGATTCTAGTAACAGTCCATCTTCAAATTGTCGAGACTCCAAAAGCACACTGTACGGTGGTCCTAGCTTATGCAGCACACGAAAAACTCGACTCAAAGACATAGTTAAAAATTAACTACATTACAATAAATAAAACTAAAAGATAAATTGTAAAAAAAAACTTTGTGATGAAATCAAGTAAATTTTCCTTGCACCAGAGTAGGGATGGGCAATATAGAATAATTTACTATTCTAGAATACTTAAATCGAATACCGAACCCTATTCTGTTTTTATTGTTATTCAAATGTGCGAATTCTTCCGCCACATTGATGAATTACAATTTAAAAAAAGTAATCTTGTGAATGTATTACTGCCTTTGTATTTAATTGAAAAAATCCTAAGCATTGGATTTTATTTGTTACCAAACAAGCCAATGAAATGTAAGAATTTAAAAAATTATTTTTTGCCTTGAATTGTTCAAAATTTAGGTAATACCTAAATACTTACCGGTATATGTTAATTAAAATATATAGCCTAGTGCATTATACACTTTAATACTAAATTGTGAAATACAAAATATAGGTATGAAAAAATATCAAATTATTATCAATGTGAGAGCGCGGAAAACACAGGCCAGACATAGGCCACTGCAATTTATGTGACCGCAACCGGAGCCTGGTAGGGCTCGCGTTAATCAATAATGTAAAATAAACTCAACGACTCAATCAATTATAATCGAGTATGTCAGCCTGTTTATTTTTTGTGAGCAAGACTCATAAAATAACATCTACAGACAAATTATTTTTAATTGCAAAATTTTAATTTTCAGTTATCGTTATATATCTACTCAGACTTGTCGATACGTTTTGCATAATGTTCATCAATAGTTCAGGCCGAGAAATGTCTTTACCACATGTGGAAACTTTTTTAAAATATCGTTGACCAACATACAGCCCGACACCTGACCAAATGTGTGTCTATTTTGGACGACAGTAACGATTTAATCGGCGACTTGAATTTCGAAGAATATGTATTTTTCTGACGGTCAGAGCAAAGATTCATTTTCATTAATAATATGATGAATCATTACAGCATTAAATATCACGAAGTACAGTAGGGCACAGTTTGCGTCTGGTACGATGGCTGATCAATACGTCAGATCGAGCCACGCTTGTCTCGATAATAATCGGAATTAATCGTGGCCGTTATTAGACCATAATTGCGTTTCTTTGCTAAAACTGTCAAAAATATAATCCTTTGGTAAATCTAATTATTCTCTCCCCCCTAGGAACCCAATGGTGATGTTTTCAGATTGCACTTCCTTTTACTTTATTCTTCAGTAACGGATTGCCGATATGGAGGCCCAGACTGTCTCGCAGGGTCATAACCCCCCCTTTGAAAACAGAAATTTTTTCTACAAAAAAGCAACAGCGCCATTTAACGGTTGCGCATCATGGTTTTGCGGCCATACGATATTATTCTGTGCGTTATCACAGACCAGACTTTTTTCGTCTTTACATCATGCTATCTTTGAATTGGCGCTGATAATGATAAATAAGAAGGTGTAATCGTTGATTGCAATTCAGTAAGGCACATTTTCCCTCCTCTCCACGAAACAGACATGAAAAGAATTTAACCGCCGTTATGGGCGCTCAAAAGGAGAGAAGGGTGATCAACTAATTTAAGGACTCTCTTTTTCCGGCGCAATCACTCAAATCAATCACAGCGCATTGAAAAGAAAAATTGAATTTATTAGAGGGTAAGAATTTACCGACGGCTATCTCTAACAGGTAGAAACGATTAATGTGGAAATGTTTTTTTCCTTCCCTTTTTCACGCCCATCATATTTTTCAATTCCTAACTTTGCATAAAGCGCGTCAACATCGCAATGACAAAAAATTTACTGCAGCCTTCGATTATGACAAATTTAGGAAATAAAACATTGTTACTGGATTTTTCAGTCTTCCGAAAAAATTCCCAAAAAAAAAAATTTATTGTCACGACGATCGTTTTGGCAGCCGACATCTCAAATAATGTTGTTCAAAATGACAATACTCATTATTCGGTGTTCATTAAAATCATCGAATAACCCGATTAGAAAGTACGATTTTGCACGCCACTCTATCAAGACCATGTGGAATGTGGAAACTTTTTTAAAATATCGTTGACCAACATACAGCCCGACACCTGACCAAATGTGTGTCTATTTTGGACGACAGTAACGATTTAATCGGCGACTTGAATTTCGAAGAATATGTATTTTTCTGACGGTCAGAGCAAAGATTCATTTTCATTAATAATATGATGAATCATTACAGCATTAAATATCACGAAGTACAGTAGGGCACAGTTTGCGTCTGGTACGATGGCTGATCAATACGTCAGATCGAGCCACGCTTGTCTCGATAATAATCGGAATTAATCGTGGCCGTTATTAGACCATAATTGCGTTTCTTTGCTAAAAACTGTCAAAAATATAATCCTTTGGTAAATCTAATTATTCTCTCCCCCCTAGGAACCCAATGGTGATGTTTTCAGATTGCACTTCCTTTTACTTTATTCTTCAGTAACGGATTGCCGATATGGAGGCCCAGACTGTCTCGCAGGGTCATAACCCCCCCTTTGAAAACAGAAATTTTTTCTACAAAAAAGCAACAGCGCCATTTAACGGTTGCGCATCATGGTTTTGCGGCCATACGATATTATTCTGTGCGTTATCACAGACCAGACTTTTTTCGTCTTTACATCATGCTATCTTTGAATTGGCGCTGATAATGATAAATAAGAAGGTGTAATCGTTGATTGCAATTCAGTAAGGCACATTTTCCCTCCTCTCCACGAAACAGACATGAAAAGAATTTAACCGCCGTTATGGGCGCTCAAAAGGAGAGAAGGGTGATCAACTAATTTAAGGACTCTCTTTTTCCGGCGCAATCACTCAAATCAATCACAGCGCATTGAAAAGAAAAATTGAATTTATTAGAGGGTAAGAATTTACCGACGGCTATCTCTAACAGGTAGAAACGATTAATGTGGAAATGTTTTTTTCCTTCCCTTTTTCACGCCCATCATATTTTTCAATTCCTAACTTTGCATAAAGCGCGTCAACATCGCAATGACAAAAAATTTACTGCAGCCTTCGATTATGACAAATTTAGGAAATAAAACATTGTTACTGGATTTTTCAGTCTTCCGAAAAAATTCCCAAAAAAAAAAAATTTATTGTCACGACGATCGTTTTGGCAGCCGACATCTCAAATAATGTTGTTCAAAATGACAATACTCATTATTCGGTGTTCATTAAAATCATCGAATAACCCGATTAGAAAGTACGATTTTGCACGCCACTCTATCAAGACCATGGCACATGTAAAAAATCATTAAATGGCTATAAAAATTACCTTCATTAACATTAAATTTCAAGTAATAGTTTCACATTTCTTTAAAATTAATTTTAGCGATTTTTAATGTTTTTATTTCTAACTACAGTTGCCCACTGACTACGGATTAATGGTCGATGTTTGAAATAGGACTTGCAAAATATGCACCATACACCGCCAGGCAAAGAGAGGCGGGCTACACACGTAACGAATTTCGCTGTGGACGACGCATACCTTTCAGTTTATAAATGCATTACATCATCGTGAACTGCCCTTTTGATGCACTGTTTTGATTTCACCGTAACCCCCCGTTGAAAAATCCTGGCTGCGCCCCTGGTTCCTAGTACTAAAGCTCCTCTCACACAAATTTTTTCACAGCATTCGAACCTGCACAGGGTACCGTAATTCAGAATACAGTAATTAGAAGTGCGATGGTAGATTGGCAGGCGGGGGTCAGACCCAAACATCCACCGAGCTTTTTTTTTGCTAATAACGTAAATCAGTTTACTACTCATACATTCATAAACACAATTAAAACATAGAATACACACGTAGACTAAGCCATATCCTATTACCTTTTTTAAATGAGGACCCATCTTGGAACATACAGTCAGGGTTGCCAGATTTCAGCGATCAAAAAAAGCAAAATCAAGACATAAAATAGCCAGAAATAGCCAAAAATTTTACTTTTACTAAATACAGAAGTACAAAAGCCCCATGATTTGTCAGATTTGAAGCCCTTGGCACAATAACGATGCTGATGTAGAGCCATCAGTTCATTTAGTGATCCGCACAAATGTCTTTTCCCATTTAAAGTTGTATTTTCGGTTGCTATCATGGCGATTTCCACTTCGGCTGGACGAAGTGTTTAAAAGTGAAAAAGATTAATTGAATGGCTGAATGGCAGCACCAGAATCTACATTCGGCACAATCAGACAATACCGGTACAGCAGTAGACTGCAGTCGAGATCTACAGATCTAGGCTATATGAAAAAGTTAAAAAAAATATCAAAAAACCAAATAAAAAGAAATATCAAGCGAACAGCTATATTTTACAATTCAATACTGCAATATGGCCTAGCCTATACAATACAGGGTGTCGCTTCAGTACAGCAGTATGTGATATATGTACCCACATGTTTCTACCTAAACTTGTGATATACCGTTACCTTAAAAATTTCTCCCTAGCTATCCTATATAGCTGTATACCGTACTTAACTATAGAAAAATTTTTCACTTTTTGAATTTTGAAACCATTAATTTCATTAAGAAATTATGTCAGAATGTTCACAATCCTATTTCTGTACTTGAATCCAGGAATCTGTCTGAGCGTCTGCAGAAACTGCAATTATTTCTTAATCGTTAAGGTAATAAACAAGGAAATTGATGCTCGGGAAATCCAAATTTTAAGTACCGGTAGTCTAGCTAAGCAATACAGCAATAGGCTATTGTTACACACTAAATATTGTATTTAATATGATTTTAAGAATAGACCAGTAGACACTAGAATTTGAGAATAGACGTAAAAAAGTCAAACAGAAATTCTGACGCCAAACGTGTTTGAAGAGCCAAAGATGGCAAATTTAGCATTAAAAAACGTGCCTCTTAGCTCCTACAGGTAGTTAATTTTAGCGTAATTAATCACATCGCTGGTGAAACTCAATTCTGATTACTGCAACTAAACTAAAGCCCTACATATGACATATTGAAAATTAAGTTATACAACTATTTTTTGGAAACAGAACTAAAAACTGACAAATAGCCTAACACACAAAACTATAAAAACGAGGCAATGTCAGAATGTTCACAACCCTACCCTACTTCTGTACTTGAATCTGTCTGAGTCTGCAGAAACAGCAATTATTTCTTATTGGTTAATCGTTAAGGTAAAAAACAAGGAAATCGATGCTCGGGGAAATCCAAATTTTAAGTAGTCTAGCTAAGCAATACAGCAATAGGCTATTGTTACACACTACTGCACTAAATATTGTATTTAATATGATTTTAAGAATAGACACTAGAATCTGAGAATAGACTTAAAAAAGTCAAAAAAAAAGCCAAACGGAAATTCTGACGCCAAACGTGTTTGAAAAGAGCCAAAAATGGCAAATTTGGAGTTAAAAAAGCCAATATGACAACCCTGCATACGGTACGGTACAGTATAAAAGAGCGATGCTCAAATACATGAACGAAGCGAAGCAGAATACAGTACCGTAACGTACGGCACTAACGGCAGCACGGCGTACCTTTATCTTACGCAGTGGTTCCGAACTGTGGGTCGCGACCCCAGGCGTGGTCGCTACTCGTTTATTAAAGATTTTCCGGGGTCGCTGAACGTACAATACGGCACACAAAAGTCGCTCGAATTTAATAGCGGAAAAATGAAATTCGCTATTTTTAAAATAGGAAATGACATTTACATGCCAATCTTTTGCCTTCTTCAAGTTGTCTTTTGCTAGCTTGGCCTTTATCCATAATTTAGGTTTATTTAATAAATAAGGAAAATTTATTTTCTATGCTTCAACCAAATAGGTAGATGGGCGGCAACAATATGCTAACGACGCCATTTTGTGGCACTTTAGGCAATGCTGAACAACGGAATCGGTAATACGGGAATTTTCGGAACAAAATTTCAGCTACGGTCAAGATACATACATACAAAACGTCATGGCACCAGAAAATCCGACATCATAATACTTGTTTTTAGTGAGATCTGGCATAGTAAAAATTGTGTCTAATAATGCTTACATTCTTTGTTGCTTATAAGAATCAGTATATATATATATTGAAATTGAAATACTTCGTTTTTAAGGTTAAATGGATAGATTTTTTTTAAGTTAATCAGATTCATTTAATCGGTCGTATTTCAATTTTTTAAACGATAAATATTTGAAGTTATTAACTTGATTAAATATCTGACATTATTCCTTCTGATTGTCAAGGCCCTCGAGGTTAGGGCCTCTAGGCTGTAGCCTACCTTCCCAATGGTGTATACCCGAGCCTCGTTCGAATCCCATGACTGATGACTGAAAAAACTTGATTTCAAACAATTGTTTTAATACAATTTTTATTGAACAAATTCCCATTTCTAAAGATAACGCAATGCACGAACTAATTTTATCTCAATTTTTTTTTAAGCACAAATAGGTAATGAATATCATCTGTTGATTATGTCCGCAACCACACATGATGTACTTTAAGCTTCAAGCAAGAATTTCGATATATATATATAGGTCAAATTATATTAATTTATTTGAAATTTAGTGCATATGAGGAAACACCATACAATTTTATCACGAACCACGCTTTATAGCAGGGGTCACCAACGCGTTGCCCGCGGGCACCAAGTCGCCCGCGAAGATCATATGAGTCGCCCGGCGGTCTGTTCCAAACTAAGCTTAATAACGGCTCTTATAAGTAAGCTGGATCAATTAAATTTTTTCCTGCTATTTTAGTATAAATCACACTTATATGGGAACTGGAAATGACACTATATTAATATTTGTAACCATCAACCTTATTTTTGTTTGACCTCAGTAATGTGACGGGTCAATTTACGCTCTTCCAATTATGACATAACACCGATATCACTTTCCACGAACCCGCACTTTTTCTTGTCCGTTGGTTTGTGGAGCAGCAATAATACAATTATTGATTCCAAAAAAAAAATGGCAGAAAAGCGATGAAAAACTCCTCATTTTCACAATAAAATCATTTTTACCACCATGAAAAAAGCCTGCGTGTGTCTCATTAGTGGAGCGATCGTAGCGACGGCAAAGCGGAGAGATATTTCACATCTTGTCACGCAATCTATCCACTGGTCAGCGCAGTACGGGCAGAAAAAGCTCGCGATTCAAATCATACAGCAATCCTATTTTACGAGACCATCGTTTGGTTCAACCTATCTTTGTGAATCAACATTTTTGACATAAACTCAGGATAGGAGGAGATTTACATATTTATCCCGGGGGAGAAGATAGCCGATAAGACGACTCAACCATATGACGACCACGGCCTCTCGCCCAGTTACCAGTCCATGTCGGGTATGAGATTAGTTAGTTATTTGTTTGCGGATGCATGGACTTGATGGCGAATGAAGCCGTAATCGGCCAGCGGTTACGTGAACCACCCTACGGCGTCGAGGAGTCCAACAATCCTTTAGTACATAACTATTCCCGCATGGAATTCTAACCTGCGAACCTAACGCTTAACACGATGGGCCACAGCGCCGCGACTCATTCCACCAGGAACAAACACGGAACACGCCTCACTGATGAAAATCTGCAACACTTGCTCAGAGTTACAGTGTCAAGTTACACGTCGAAGTATGATACTCTGCAACATTTGATAGTATAACTGTTAAGTACATTTTATCTTAAACTTGCGCAGAGTGTTGAAAATCAATTTGAAAACACTCAGTCTTGAAATGCAAGCGTCATAGATAAAAATTTATCTGCTACGTTGTGATAATCGTTTGATTCCCTGAAGAATCCTAAAGTTTATTAGTGTCTCTACTTCACTAAATACCAGTAATTATACCAATAATTGAAGCTTAATCGGGCAACTGACTTTTTCAGAAGTGTACATTGAACTGGTAGCCCGCAGCTCAATCTGTACCCAAAAAGTAGCCATCGGCCTCGAAAAGGTTGGTGACCCCTGCTTTATAGTATCTTCATCTAGCGCGGCGGTGTGGCTCAACGGGCTAAGCGTTAGGAATACGCTCGCCACCGCACCTCTAATTACTCTGCGTGGATTCGCAGGTTCGAATCCCAGGCAGAGATGGTTATGTGCGATAAGATTGATGGACTCCTCGCCGTCGTTGGGTGGTTCACGTAACCGCTGGTCGGTTACGGCTTCCTCCACCACCAAGTCCATGCTTCCGAAAACAAACAATATAACTAATCCCATACCCGACTTGGAATGGTAACCGGACGAGAGGCCGTGGTTCGCCATATGGATAAGCCGTCTTATCGGCTTTCCTCTCCCCCGGGATAAATATGTAAATCCTATCCTATTCTTCAGCACGCCAGTTATTGGAACAGCAGTCCGAATCAATGATTTGATGTAAAATTCCAGAGTTTTGGGCGAGTTTATTTGTTTGGTATGATTAGCGATACCGTGTTCTCTTCAGAAATTTCAAATGTACAACCAACAAGCTGAACCTTCGTTTACAATGCTTTAAAAACGGACTCGCTATGTGGGCAATTGGTGATATAACTATCACTTGAGTAGTTACTAGAGTAGGTGCCTGCCTCCAATGTATTCTGAAAACTGACTTGTCCCAGGAATTATGTCCCATAATTTGAAAGAATATTTGACCTAATTAATAACATATGTTATACATATTGTGGACGGAATGTATTTTATAGCATAGGAAAATAGTACACAGGTTCAGGTTGAATAGATAAGTTACGACATTATATTTATTAGAAATTGGCTATTAATAGGCATTATGTTAACTTTTCCAAGTATAATCTTTAATCGATTAAAAATCTAGAATGTTGATCCTATCATCAAGTGCTTTGAACAGTTTTGGTAGTAATGGTTCACAAATCTTTTTCAGGTAATTGTTTGTGACTGATTGTTTTTCGAAAATCTTAATCCGGTACTAGAGATATCAAGTTTCGAAGCCTTGTTGCTCAACTGCCTAATGTTTAATTTAGCTTTTCATTGACTCTAATCTCAGATAAAGCATATCGTTCCATTCTAACACATCAGTATACACCGGTCTTGGTTGGATTTGAATAGTGCCGAACTTTGGCCCTATGTAAATGAAGTCGTTGAACTGTCCCTCGCTGAAAGGCCTTCCAAGATATTAATCTCCAATAGGACTCGTGAAGATCGCTTTCTGAAGGGTATGGGTGTTCCTGTAAATTAACGATGTGAAATCTGAGATTAACTTATCGATAGGCTTACAAAGAACATCATCAAATCTAACCACAGTTACAAGATTCACACATGCCTAATGCACGACCTATAATGCAAGCAGTCTTTTCCGAGAAAAAAAAACAAGATTTGAATAAATATCGATTGGAATATTATCGGGTCGAAGGCTCCGCGTTCAATAATACAATCCGTTAAATTAACAATGCGAGTTTTTTACTGGTGCAGTGAGCGATTACTCAGAAATAAAAGCAATATTTTAGATTTAATTAAACACATCGCGAGTTATCGATGATGCTCTTCCTTTTTCCAATTATACTGCGTCGCCAACATAGATAGAGATATATGATAAGATAACACACTATTTGACTTGAATAAAAACTCCATAAAAACAAAACGTTTTTTGAAAACAGTGATAAAATTTCAAAATATTATTTGTACACGAATGTACAAGCTGAACGACTCACATTAATTAGCAAGTAATTTAGGGATCAAGGTAACAAATTTTAAAATATCCTCATTTTGGTATTACGATTCAGTTTTTCATATCGATCATTCGAAAATTATGACAGCTTGTCACTATCGGCTCAGTCAATAACAATCAATATTATTTCAAGGGCTTCTATTGCTCAGGGTATATGATGTTAGCAATAATTAGGACCAGTTTGTCACCCGTGGGAATGCAACACAGATATGGAAAATTTTCAGTGTTTGCTTGGAATGTATTGTATACTCGTTTCCAACATATTGAACTTATAGTTTTCAAGTTCCAATCATCATAAGTGCGCAGTAAACGTTGTGGGTGTGTGCATCAAAAGCCACCCTGATAATCGATTTTATTTGGGCTGATGAAAAATGACATTTTTAATATGTATTAATAAAAACATACGGACCTCCTGTAGTATGCGCACCAAGATGGCGCACAAACTGGACTCAGGTTGTGTACCAGGTTAGGATTCAGGACCAGGTTATGCGACATCTTGGTGCGCATACTTCAGGAGTACCAAACATACACTATTCCCTAACCGCAAACATATGATTATATATTGATAAAAGAGTTGCGAATGACACGCTAGGTGCAATACATCTGATCCGATGTTTCGAGCGTGTCGGTAAATATCAGCAATAGTCGACAATAGAGAGACTTAATCAACCACAACAAAGTGCAGATAAATTTTGTATTAAACTACTTTGTAAACCAGCCAGTTTTGCAACAATCATACTTATTGGATTTTTCATTCAGCGAGAAAGCTCATATTAGCCGCAGATGCACCGACACAGTTACGGGAGAAATCAATGATTATCTAAGCTCGCGACTTCATTAAGGCATTTTGTGAACAGACATAAAATATTAGGTGATTCTGACAGCTCGTTTTTTGACATTTTAGTTAGTGCGTCGTTAACCTGCCTGTGTCGTTCCGATTGGTTCGTGGGTATTTTATAAAAATAAAAATAAAATGTTTGAGTTACTTACAGTATCGCGCAAATTCTTTAAAGACTCATCGGACATATTGTCAAGATAAAATTTCTTGTTGAGAACCAAACACTCCGCACCGTTGCTTATCAATGCCAAACTTGGCTGTTCGTTAAAAAGAACAGAACCAAGTCCGAAGCTGTTCCCTCTCGTCAGTTTTCGTATATTTACATACACCTTCTTTAACTTTCGATCGTCAGCAGCAGGCACATCTTCTTCAGAATCCGATGATGACTGTAAAATGAGGAGAAAATGCTTATGTCTTTTTTACTCGAATTGAAATTAGAAAAATGAATATTGTAGGTAAAAGCCTTACGTCCAACTTCGACAAAAAATCGTCTGCAGACAACGTGTCAACTACATATGCTGGCTTATTTGCTTCTTTTTCCGATTTTTCAGGCATCTGATGCAAAGTAGCTTCTAGGCCTGTTCCAGCGGAATGTTTGTTGTGATTTCGACGCGACCCGTCTTCTTGAGGTGAAGATATACCGGTTTGTAAATAGGCAGCTTTCATTGGGCTTGGTGTGCGTGGTGTACCCGCTCTGTCAGACACTCTGCTCATACGAAATTCTGTGTCTGTTTGTGCTGGAGCAACATAAGCATCTATGTCGCCCCCTGTTATATTCATTGTAACTGTATTTTCCTTTTTGTTGTTAAGAACATCTCGTTCATGAATATTTATTTTTCCTGACTCCCCTTCCTCATCATCCTCTTCACTGACAGGTGTAAGAAATCCCTCTTTAATGTCGATGTTGAGTTCTTTCAGTAGAGACGCTATAGAAGGGCAAAATGACGATTTTAGTCATAGTATAGACAAGTCGACGGACAATGATATGTAAATTGTATCTCACCCATTTCAATTTGTTTGTAAGATGTTGCAACACTCACTTGATCTGCTTTTACATTATCTTCAATATTCTGGATTTTATTTAAATGATCTGACAAAATAAAATAGATACAAACATGGGTACCTATCGCTGGTTTGGTGGGAATACAATATATATGCTTTCTGGGGATATGTACGTACATGTATTTTCTGCACTAAAAAGTTGACTAATGTATAACCGCATGCAAATGAAACCCCGTATTCGAGATTAGAGGTTCTTTCCAATAATTCAGAGTTATCCCTTTCATTTCCTTACAGGTCACATGTCGTGATTTTCTATATAATTCATCTATATATATACCCAAATAATTGGTGAATATAACTTTACTCAGTCATTTTGTCTAATCATTTCATTCAAGAATGCTCAGAGCTATTTCTTTCATTGCCTTATAGGTCAGGTGTGGTTTTTTATATAAATATAATTTAAATATATACAACTAATTTGTGGATATAACTTTACTCAGTCATTTCGCAAAGTCTTTTCGTTTGAGAATACTTGCTAAACATCAACGTCCACGCCTATAAGTGTATGCACTACATTTTGAGTCACGTTAACATTATTAGCTTTTTTAAAATCAGGACGAAATATGGATTTATATCAAAATTACGGTCACCATAATGTATAGTCGATATTAAAATTTTAAGGTGGATTTCCAAATTTTCAGCGATGAATGCTGAGGCGATACCTTCTTCGTTGACTTCTTCTTGTTTTTCTACAAGATGCGTCATTAAATGTGATGGTAAAATAGCTGTTTGTTCTGCCATTTGTTTACGGAATATTTGGTGAAGTGTTAGATTCTGCACTTTTAGAGGTTTTAGAACAGAGCAGCTTCCCTGTAAACAATTTCAATATTAACAAGTTCAGAATAATTTTAAAAACTAAAGAGAATGAAATATGAGAAGTAGGTTTTTTGTTTTGATTTCTAAAAAACATTTTTTTAACAAGAAGGGCTCATTTTAAATAAACTTCATTGAAATACCCCCTGCATTGCTGTGAAACTACGGCGAAATGGTGCGTTTTAGCAGCCTTACAACCTGTCGGAATAATATTTTCAAAATAGTGAAAAGAATTTGCTTCGCGTCGCATTATTGCCAACTTAGTAAATACTCCAAAGTCATAAGATAATAACTGCAACGTTTATTCGGGATATTAGAGAGACACTTCGAGTAGAAGGGTAAGAAAAAAACCATGAATTGCTCACGGGCTCGCTAAACACAATCTAAAATCAAGCGGATCGGATGCCCGCTCAACGTCTAAGTCTTGTAAAACCAGTGTGATGGAATAAAGGAGGTTATAATTGCATCGGTGGCACCCTACGCTACGTGTCCACGTGGCCCCAAATCCAATGACGTATATGACAACGTGCGAGAAAAGTGCTCTACCTCTCTAGGTCGCAAATCGGTTCACGTAATGGGTTATCGTTAACGGCTTTCTCCGCTAAACAAGTGTGAGGACGAATTGTGCCTGAAAGGACGAGTACGCGCAAGTCATCAATACCTGTGGCGTTTGGGAGGGTATACAGATGATGAGAATAGTTAGGCAAGTTTTAACACTCACTTTTTTGTAATCTATTTAACACAAAAAGAACAAATAAAACAACCAATTTAAACAAAACAGGTAAAAAAACGTGATTTAAAATTGCCTCAAAACAAATCTTTTCAAACAATTCAAATATACGCAATTATATATATTACTATTGCTTCGGAAATAGCTTCTTCGCACTACAGCTTACAGTACGTAAAAGATCTGATTGCATGAAATGTATATTTAGGCAATAACGCCCATATTTGAATGAAGGCGCTATTGAATATAATTTGCAGTTTGACGGTTTTCTAAAAGTTGAGGCAGCACCCAATTTGAAGCTGGTCTTTGTCAATGAATAATACTAGTGTTTAGTATTCAAATATTAATTTACCGATTTAACTACAAATATCCAATCGCTTTCTGCGCTGTCTTTAGCAAGAAGTGTTCCTCTTTTGTAATACCTGAATAAGCATCTGTTTGGATTCGCATCAAGTTTTTGAGTCGGCCAACCTCGGAAAAGAGTCAAATTTCTGAAACAGAGTATGCGGTTCACATACAGTGTTGTTGCATTAGGGTTAGGGTTATGGTTAATTTCAATGAAAAAAATAACTGTGTTTGTTCCTGGGTATATACTTGGTTGAAATAAAGATACATTTTCAAATTAAATACATTTTCAGTTATTCATATTGTTATATTTTTCAATACCCACTCTTAATTATCGCATGATTTATACACAGACATATAATGTCAACGACGCTTCAAACAAAATATTAATAATTACCTGAGAAAAGATCCTCGGTCAGGATCATTGAGAATCCCACCACTCCCACCTGCTAAAAATATTCTCACGTATTCCTGTTTGTCAAGAAGTAAAAATTCACATGAATCTACAGTTACAACGCTCCAGCCCCAATTGCTGTTGTCGAGAATTTCATGTTCCTGAGAGATGAGATAAAAACACTTTCATCATTTCATACAAGTTATGTGCGAATCGGTCATTTTCACCACTAGGTCGTAATATGATTAATGTCACCATATACTCGAATTAAAATTGTTGAAAAAGTTACCCCAAATATATCGCCTCGTTTCAAGAAGGAAACGGGATTTGTGTTTCCATTTTCATCCTGCTTAATGACGACTGCAGACCCCGCAAGTAAAACATAAAAATTGAGAGGGCAACGATTCTCCAATACAACCACTCGTTTGCTTTCAAACCTGTTCAAAATTATATATTAAAATTTGGTTAAAACAAGATTCAGATACATTTTGTTTTCGGTTGCTAGATGTTTTTTAAAATAATTCGCATTCAAGTTTCAGCTCACTAGAAACGTTTATTGAAATCAATGTTAATTTATTGTTCATCTCTAGATTTTCAGCAACAATTTACGGTTTATGATCCATTTCACCGTGGTAAAACAATGGCCGCATTCACTACTTTTTTTTTACAAAATTTCACATCAAGTCCTCGTCAGCGTGTGACAATTATTTCAGATGAGTCTTTGATAGTAACTGTATTTTCTTTTTGATTTTTTCTATATATTCGCCCGAATGTTACACTTGTGTTTTTGTTGCAATTTACACACATTTTTCAGTAACTGACTCATGAATACGCCGGTGTTAGATTTTCAACCAGATTTCCATTCCCTTATAAAAAAATAGTAAAAATAAAAAAATTTTGTGTGTACCTCAGTAAATCACATTTTTGGAGTTTATAACATTCGCTTGAGAAGTTTTTCCAGTTTTTATATTTGAGGATAAACTCAGTATGATACACTGTATCAAACTCTTGTTCTCCATCATACCCCTAAGGCTGACCATGGAATAAGCTTGCGATTGAAAGTTGTTGAATTCGGAAACGGTTGTTTATTTTTTTTACACAAAGGGCAGACGAAGATGAATGAGTCTTTTTAACCAATAAAAGAAATGCGTAGGCTTCGACAAGACTGAACGGGACTATGCTTATATCAATAGAGTGGTAAAACCCTATTTTGTGCTCGTTCTGATGACAGAAAATGATTTACGAGTAATTACGACATTAGCTTGCTTACACGATCTGAGACTTTTGTATATTTCAATTTGAGAGAAAGAAATTAGAGAAAATTACAATGTTGTACATGTTAGCATAATAAATTTTGATACCTCAAGATTTATATGCCAATACCCAACCGCAGTCATATTTTTATTTATTTCTATCTCTCACAAAGCAGCGTTTAACACATGAATGATCGTGTGGGTTTTCAATCTCATCATGGCGGGACATGTTCTTGTCATCCTCAACGCAAGTTACGCCTATCGTATTTGATTTACGGTCACCATATAGTATAATATTAAAACATGCTTCACTCCAAACAATCATCTGCAAATATGATTTGAATAATAAATCGTTCACAAGTCAGTAAGACATAGCCGTTCTTTGTGTGTATGTTTGTTGAATATTTATTTAATTATTAAGTCAATGTTTAATTTTAAATACGGATGTAACTTACGCTATTATTGAAAAGCTGCAAATTCACTTTCATCTAAAATTTATTTCAATGGAAGATATTAGAGTCAGAGATGGTAGTCAGAAAGAAATTTTGAAACGTCTCATTACCACTCACAAAAACGAAAGCGATTGAGATCTCAGCCTGGGAACTTTGGCGAGACCTGTCGTTTACTGATTTTTAATGGCACGTTGGCAAGTATGACTACTTACAAGTATTCGATTCTTACCTGATTCCCAAATTTTCGATTCCGATTCTCGACATATCTTACCGAGAAAACATACCCACCTAAGCAATACCATATGAAATCAAGCAAGAGAACGATGTTCAAATATATTGACGGATAAGAAGGCCGAAACTAAGTAGTATGGGTATCCATCTGTCCCTCAGAGGATAAAATTGAACAAAAAAAATACGAATCCCTCAGAACCCACAGAGATTTTAAAAATAAACTTTTAGCAAAATATAAAATATATATAGTGAAGTTTGCGGCGTCGTATCAACTCAACATTGCAGTAAAGCAGTTTATACATATATATTTATGTGAAGAAATTGCCACAAAACGTTACACATTGTTTGCAATCCAAGTTTTAACCTCGAGAATCGATTCTTGTGCATCGGAATCGATTCTAGTCGATTCCGCGAAAAATCGATTCTGTAATCGAATCCGAACTCGATTCCGCCATCCCTAATCTTTGGAAGGGAATAAATTATTTCGAATGCATTCCACTTCCAGACAATGAAGCTACCGTTTTGCTCATTTGCCCAATTAAATTATGTCATAAATGGATTTGCATACGAACCCAACAAAGTATCCGCTTCTTGCAATGTTCTCCTGTACTGATGAGGAATGGTCTGAAATGGCTTTGACATTTCGTAAAGCGGTTTGAACCTATAATTGGAATAATTATTTCATTGGTATCCTAAAGCAATATATATGGGTAAAGCCTATGTACTTATAACGACCATACTACACGTATATCGACGTGGCAATCAAACAGTAGGCCCACGATATTATGGTCTGAAACAGGGGTGGCCAACACGTCGATCGTGATCGACCGGTTGATTGTCACGTCTCGAGTAGCCGATCGCGTCTGCTATTGAGTGAATTTAATAGCATGCCCCTGAAAATTGACTTCAAGCAGTTTCATGCAGTCCCTGCTTTGTGTTTTGAAACAGGAAGAATACAGTATTGTAGCCTACATGCGCAACCGCTATGCGCTATCGCTAACTACTTTAAAGATTTTAGTCAATCGCGGTCGAAAGCAGGTTGGCCGTCCCTGGTCTAAGATTTCAGTTTTATTAATCTCACCATTCGGACATCTTGATCTGTTCTGTTTTCAGACGGGATGGACAACGTCTTCCTTGTTGTATCAGAAAGTCTTTGCTGATTTTTAGTTTTATAGTCCATAACATCAAACAACACTTCTTGTTTTGTTTCAGGTCCGGCTATATTTTTTGCTGTTCGTCCGAAATGAATGTTGTAACTATCATCGGTCACTATGTAGTGATCATTACATAGGCGATCAAACATTATGGTAAGGCGAATGGCGGCTCTCCACTTGTCCATTAATTTTGCCTGTAAACAAATAAGCAACTACTACGTAATAGCAATATATATATAAAAAAATGAAATAAAAGTTAGTCAGCAGTATGGGCATGTTAACAGTGGGCTATTGATTTTTGCACCCTCGCGTCTAACACCATTGAAGTGCAAACGTCTGTACAGTGTTTGATATTGAATGTTAATATGATTATCATTTTTATTTTCCCCCAACACTTGTTTTCACATTGTGCACGTGCATAAGCGGGGAAAAACAGTATAATAACCTTAAACTTGAGTTTTTGTTATTTCACTTCAATTTTATTTATTTTTGTGCAGCGGGAGTGTATATAAAGACAATCTTAGATCTGTTAAATAGGAATTTGAGTATTTTTGTAAATTCCCACGTCTTACGATATTTCAAAGCTCTTACTCTATGACATTGGCGCCTCAGGTTCGTCAGAAAACGCCAAAACTACCGTACTCAAGAGCACTTGAAAATTTGTTCACCGGGTCGAGTAGGCTCTGTTGCGCACCTTGACAAGTGCAATAACACTCGACAATATTATCTCTTGTTGCACTAGAAATTTCTGACATTTAAAAGTTGATTATCGTACAGCGGAGCGTCATTGGTGATTCATTCATGACGAAGTATAACTTTTACCGTTAATTTATATGCTGATCGCTGTGGCCATTCTGTCGATTTAAATGCCTAAAACAAAGCCTGTAGAAAAGCTGAATATAAATTTAGCTGAATGAGAAAGATTTAAATATACATACCAGTTTTGTTTGTTTCTGTGCGCGGTAAAATTGAGGACTTCCTTTGCTGTCACTTCGTATACTTCTACGTCTCCATTTGTTTGATTTTCTCCTCCCTCCTGGAATTAATAAGCAATTGAGTGAAATAATTTTCACGTTAAAACGACTTGGCTTGGAGTTGAAATTTTGAATAATAATAATTACTGATTACCAGTGCTGCGGCTGCTGGTTGAATCTGCTGGAGTAGAAGACTGATCCTTTAGTTGAAGACCCCCAGCAGCCGATGTGCGTGAAAGCGGCGAAGTTTTGTAGGATCGAGATGGCTTCTTTCTGTTTGGCGAGCTTCCGAGAGGAGAAATGACATCCGAAACTTCACTACCTAGGTGTAATATTTGTGATATGAGACAGGATTTGTAACACATGTATCAACGACTACATGAAAATATATATAACCGGACAAGTTACAACATCTGAATTATACCTTCGTTTAATAATCTCGATCTGTTCCAAGTGTTTTGATTTGAGTATTCATTTATCACACCATGTTGACTCCGCAATGGAGGCAGGACTACCCTCTTTTTCATTTTTTGTGTGGTTTGTTGTTTGCCATTATTTTTTCGACTGAACATGAAATATTTCTCTTCGTTCTCCTTTTTTATGCTTTTTTTTAATTGATTGAAAACTGCTGCCCCGTTTTCAAATTTAGATTTTTCAAATCTGAGAAATTCTGGCAAAATTGGAAAGCGGCGTTTGGATGGACGATAATCTTGGTGATTGGGCGAGTGTGCCAAAAATCTATTAATACCTTTAATCTTCGAGTATTCTGTTACATTGTCAGTACCAGCCACAATACTACTACTCTGAGGAAAGACGATCGCTGTTTTCGAGTCTGCTGGCACAGAGTTTTTACCATGCGAAAAATCTTCTGAAGCCTTACTAACAATAGTCACGATCTCCTCGCTGGATGAATCCGCTATTATTTTATATTTTACAGCGTCCGTATTCGATAGCAACACTTGTAAATTATTATCAGCAACATTGATATCTCTGTGGGAATCTGTTACAAACTTGCCATTCGCTAGTTGTCCGAAACCGTCTTGTCGAGAGACATTATGTGATCTGGATATTATCTTATCTGGCGACTCGAGATTTTCCGAAGTTTGGATAGCGGAAGACTTATGCCCAGACTCATTGTGTGCAATTTGAAATGATGCAGCGCGTCGAAGAGCTTTTGTACGGCGCGTTTCCCGAAGTAATAACTTATGTGAATCTTGATCAGCTATTCCATTGAGTGTATCATATTTTGCTTCACTTTTACGTGATCTATTATTTTTCCAGCTGTTGTCGTGAAATCGACGTTCTAAATTTTCCATTGCAGCATTTCTTGAAAATGCAAAAGTAATTTCTCGACCATCATAAGCACCATTGTTCGATCTTTCCTGAATGCGGAGTGCTGGTAGCAAATTAACCGCGGGCAAAGGAATCATGGGCCTTTTGAAGCGGTCGTTATTGGTACTAACTCCAAAACCATGGCTATTATCTAAAGTCATTTTTCGCGGTTTTCTTTCGGCCTGATTTATTTTGGATGCTGTGGACAACGACTCCATTCCAGCATACTTCCTGCTGTTACTTTTGCGTCTCCACTTGTGTACTCGGTAATCACTAGATCTGGCATCTGGGACTCTTTGTCGGTGTAGATTGCTAAGAGAATTGATGGGATCTTCTGGTATTTTATGACCCCCGGGTGTTAACTTCTGCTTAAAATTAATCAACGTATTTCTCGAAGAATCATTCGGAACACCTAGCATTGAACTTAGTGCAGCGGTCATCACACGACGTTTATTGACTTCAGATTTCCCCGTGTAGTGAATATTCTCCGATTGGGGATATTTATTGTCTGTGTCTATCTTATTGGTTCTTGAGTTGAACTCAGGTGTTTTAGTGGAATGCGGTTTCCAAGTTAAGTTGGTCGTGCTATCAGAGTACGTTGATTTGAACTTTTTGCGAATGAATACTACTTCTTCCGCCCCAGAATGGAGCAATGATGCTCTGATATTACCGAGACGCCGTGAATCTAATACTGCATTCTTTCTTTGGAACTTTTGTTTTGGTTGTACACGAAGTTTTACATTTTCTTTAAAAAATTGAAACCCGGTAGGAGGAGCTGCTTTATTGACTTCACTTTCTATCAGATGGTGTGTTTTTGAGACGTCCTTTGTTCTGCTGCTTATTCGCCTGCCCAGACAAGGCGATACCATATTTCTAAACATTCGAATTAAATAAAACTTAGAAGCCAAAATAAAGTTGTCTTTATATATATAATCTATTTTATATGTGTAAAATCGATCATTATTTTCAACACAAAGTGTGCCACTTAATGACAACTTTTGCGTACTCGACAATATTCAAAAAATTACACACAGCCATTTGAAGTATTACGTCATAGTTACATGAAATATATACAGATTTCTAGTGCGAGCCCATCATGCTGTTTGTGTGTCATCGCTTGTCTAAATTGGGCAATTTTACAAAGTCTCACGCTAATATTTTCTAAACACAACACCTACTCTTGAAAATCGCAGCGTTTATTGTTACAGTGCTTAACCTTCTTGTTTGTGGTCACTCGGCCACTGTTTAAATGTTATCAAGTATTGAAAAGAACATAGTGAGACATTTTCAGAAGAGTAATAGATATCATGTAAATGGCTAAACTCGGCAAAAGAGATTAGTAGTCACAATTGTTTTCCCAATTTGATTCGAGTAATATTATCCCTAATATTATGTTTTGTACAATACACGACACGTTGTCACCGTTACGCTCGTGCGAACTAATGTGAGCGATAACCTTACCGGTTATTCTTCCAACAGTACATCGACATCAGTCTGCGCTCGTCAAGTATATCGAAGTGGCCATTCTTATTGGAGCAACGATTAATTTACATTGTCACTGTTAAGACAAAAATATTTGCTAATTTCACCAATACTTCACTATTCCAAATAATTAGAAGCTACGCCTGGCCACTCTACTATTATTATTTATACAAAAAATCAATGACTAAAACTAACAAATAAGATTTCCAATAACTTCGAAAAGACTAAAATTAAGACTTCTAAGTATCTGTAAATCGAAATGTCTCTATGCTGCTCTTTTCTAAAAAACATTTTCACATATTCTTCGATAAGAGGATTTATAAATAATAGTCTCAAAAGGAAGTCCATTTATTAAATATCACCTCTAGGATTATGAAATTGAAGATTCTGAAAAACATAATACAAGCTTTTCCGATAATTACCTTACCAAAATGCGCTTGGTAACAGGCGTCGTAGCATTCCAAAACCTAACGTTGACATACGCGCGCCATGGTTCATTCTAGTGAAATTTACAAATTATACGGTAAATCATAGCAGATCATTTGAATTGCCCAAAGCAAACAAACTACTTGGCCATAATTTCTAAATCCTGATAACGCCAAGACTATCGATTATTGATATCACGTTGTAGCAGTTGGCGAATTACAGGACACATATGGCCCGAATACTCGATTGAATGTAGTATACTAAGTCATAGCGATATTAGGAAAAATAGTTTTGTTGAAAGCGGAAGAATATACTTACGCTAATTCAGACAAAATTTAATTTAAACGCGGTTGTTATTACTCACAGTGCCAGAGAGAATATTGATGCAATACAAACAGTTTCTTTTCAAAAGCGCTGTTTGATTTCTTAAGCATGTATACCGGACTTATGTGATCAATTTGTGACGTTGCAGTTTATATTGCGAGTTGTTTTAAATAGTAACAAATAATATAATATAACATCAACATTCCTTTGGCTTTGTTCCGTAGAACAATAAAATGTCTATCCGATAAACTAGGAGCAAACGTCGAGTAAGTTGGAAAAAATGCGTCTTTGGCGACGTAAATCCCAAGCTTTAACTCGAAGACAATTTGAGTTTCGGTTCACGTCGTTACCTTATGAAGCAATTAACTGTCTGCCTCCATTGGGACGAAATAAATATATCACTGTGTTCTCTCGATTAATTAGATTCTTTTTCATAATTTTCTATTTCAATTCTGCTATTTGTAATCGATACCTTTAGTTTATTTATAGAATAAACATTTTTGATTTTTTTGTGCCATGCACGCTGACCTATTAGGCTACTAAAATAGCTGAAATATTCTTTAGATAGGCCTACAGCTTTAAGTATTTCTCGTAACGGTAGGTCATCGGCCACTTTCAAAAACGATTTGAACAGATTCTGATGTTTAACATTGAACAATCAAATGCGCAATTTATTTTCATTCCAGGACCAATAAAACAGGAAAATGACAATTCTTGTAAACGTACATCAACACACTCCTGTGATCTTTGTTTGTCGTTGCCATTATAGTTGATACGTATTCGTGCCCTTCGAGTGTTACCCAGCTTAAATTTTTACTTGTTTGAATTGGAATATGGCTGATCTCAGGACGTTAAACTATACTTATTTATATGGTATATGACAAAACTACCTCCGGTCGGTGGGCCTTAACAGAAAATATCGTTAACAATTCAGACTGTTCTGTGGGTACTATAAACCGATCCAGAAAACACGTTGAAAATTTTTACTGATCCAGGATGGTCGATGAAACAAAAAGCTAGAACCGAAGAGGAAGAAGACGCACACAGTTCGAAAATGCTGGAAAATGCACACAAAACGTCTGTGTTGAAATTAAAGTCACCAAAATCATTCAGAGATGATACGACGACGCTGTGTTTTGACTTTTTCAGCTTGCGTACACTAACAACAAGATTAAAAAGTCGCGGCACGATTATTCCAAATCAGTTTTATTGAATCACTTATCCGTTAATATTATGCGTTTCGACAGTAAATAAAATTGAAACGAGATTTCGCGGGTCAATTGTAACAAGTCTTTATAGTTTTTAGCTTTTAATTTCTGTCAGCGCAGAACATTAATATATGAAAATGAAAAAAACATTTTGTTGTACTATAACATATATTGTATTATATCGCATATATATGTTGTTCTGATACACTGACAGAAAATCCGCATGGCGAAATTTGTGGTGGAATTGAGAACTCGAAATATTTCATGTAAAAACATGAAATGTGAAAAAGTAATATCAAAGTGTCTCTTCAATATCTTTACGGCTGACAGTTTGAAAAAGGTTGTCTAGTTAAATTCTAGCGACTTTGCATTACACAAACTTGCATTGTTGGGTTGGGGTCGAAAACGTATAACGCCTTATATATACCGGTATATATATATATATATATATATATGCCATATTACACCACCTATCGGTGGACATAGAATAATAAATCATTATACAGGGTGACCCAAAAAAACTGAACCCATACAATATGTTCCAAATAAACTGGGTTTCGTTTATTTGGGTCACCCAATATATATGTGTGGTACCGACTACACCCATTACTGATTGCAGGATTGCAATGTAATAAAGTTCATGTTGCAGTGTTGATTATTGTGAAATGATCTCAAAAATTTTGTGAAAATTCGATCTTGACACAGTTTGAGAAACCCTGGACTAGACCACGCAGATATGGCGATTACAAGTGTAAAATGAAGTCAACGACGGAGTATATGTACGAGGCCCATTGATTTTCTATTGGGTAAACAGACATACTGAAATGAGTTTTATTCATTAAGTCACCTGCACTTCGTTCTAAGGACGTTCTGAGAGCAAATTACACAATAGAATGGGTTACTTTGAGGGCGGATATATAATTTGCTCTTAAATTCCGTCACCCCCACAGAGAATAGCAGTGATTCAAAATAAAGGCTTGGTGTGGAATTAAAGATTATGGGAGCAATTAATGAATAATTGAATGAAACGCTCGCCGTTTATATGACCAAACTAAAACAAGCTATACGAAAGGCGAAATATATATATACCAACTGTAAATACATTTTGGGTAACAAACACAAAGGATTAGGTCAGTATACACGAAGTTGGATGCGAAATTTATTTTACGTCACTTTTTGTACACTTTCGTATTTTCAGTATGTGAAAAACTACTGACCAACCTCGGATTTTAGCAAATTGAGATGAAATAATGAAAAAAGTGTCTCTCCCAACATTTTCTGTTTGAAGTTCGTTACCTGTGGATCGATAATCTGATCTGGTCCACACCACCTTTATACGAACCGTAATCTCAACGCCTTCTTCCCCTTGGTAGTGCGGCATGATTATTGTATGGTTGGTGTTAACAAATTTCTGTTAGATCTGTCAGACTGGCTGCATATTCGTCAAAGACGCATAAACAATAACAAATATCGTATCAAATGTTGACCGTTCGCCCTATAATTCCCTCCCCTAAATTTACCCAGAGACTCCACTCCCACTTGGCAACTAAATATATACATGAAATTGTACTGAAGTCAACCGTCGGGGTTCTTCTTAATCCTGTACACTTTGTATGGAGATAAAATCCGGTTCAATACGACGATCGATTAATGGTTTCTAGATTATTGCTGCAACAAATTTCCATTCACTTTCATGCACGGACAAAAATGTGTGACGGGATCATTAACTATATCCACGCCTGTGATATATGAGTGAGTTTGATAGATGTAAGGAGCGAGCTTTAACGACAGGCGAGATTCACCAATTGATAATCCAATTCAATATCACCATAGAAACAGCTGGGATATGATTTGCACAAAGCCTTAGCAAGAGGTGCTTTTAAGATCAGTACATGAAGTTTTCATAAGAGATATCTAAAATCCGACAAAAATCACCAATTAGAATAAATAATTTTTGAAATTTTAAATGAAGTGGTGTGAATTTTGAATAGAGCAATGATAGATGGATAGCTACAACACAGATTTTAAGAACCTTACTAATCCTGTTAGAAAAGGATAACATCAAGTGCTCTGCAAACTTATTTTTATTCAAACTCCAAACAAAATTTGAATTTGGAACCAGGAGTCTTTAATTTCGAAATGTGTCAATAAAAACAAACACTCCACGATATTTTTCTGATTGCAGTAAAATAAACACCACAAAACAACAAATCTCACCGAAGCTCGGGATTCTACAATATCCCAAAAAATGTAATTTATGATAACTAGGGTAGCCGAATGATTCCAATATGTAAAGTGGATGAAATCACGAATTGAGGGAACTTGGGCAACCACGAAAGGGCATGTTTTATAAATTGAAGTATCAATTTGCATATTCATTGATTTTTGATATTACCAATTAAATATCCACCTATTCCATGAAAAGATTAGCCTACTTGAAATATATTAGGATTCTTGCTAGTCCTAAGCCATAACCAAGAAAACTGTACAATGTAAAATAAAAGACCAATCATTAACCAAGTTAAGTTTAATTTTTTTTAAACAAAAGAATCCTTTTTCTCTAATATATCAACCAAAATATCAGACATTTCTGTTGTTTGTGATAATAGATGTATTTTTCTTTCTGAACAGACGTCTGGGTGTTGTATCAAAAAAGGCTATAATTGTAACATCGTCAGACATGTTTACCAATTTAATTCCTGCACATAGTTAGTTGATTTACACCGATTTTATCTAGTTGAAGGAACACATGTATATACTTATGACTTATACATATTTCAGTCCACCATTTATCGCAAAATTTGCTCCGTAATTACTCTGTTTCTGCAGTTGAAATTTCATTTCCATTTGACACACAATCATCATCCTCATCGTCTTCCAGTGCCAGTGCAGCAAACTTACTTTTTTGAACAAATTCAACTGCTGGTTCAGGTTCAAGTTCAATAGGTCCTCTTGGTGGTCGCCTCCCAGATCGATTCGTCCCTTTGTGAAAATCATGCTCTTGTCCAGCTAAAATTTATTGTAAGTTGAACATCAATGAAGAGTACCACAAACAAATTTAATGAATTATATATTTTTTTTAAAAATAGGCAAAAAATGAAAGTAACAAAAGACAAAAGAATAAAGGGCATGAGCCCATGAATCACACAGGTAAAATTTGTTTGGTAAGTGGAGAAGAAACATTTAATCAGACAAAACAGTCCTGCGTGCAATATGATCAATAGTTTTCTGATAATGACATTATTTGTAAAAGCATTTTTTTTTCGCGAAAGAAAACGAACCTTTTCTGATAAGAAGGCACTTACGGTACATTCAATGAAAGAGTCCCCTATATATAGTCCCCCTAATTTTTTGCGATTTAGTGCTTCTTCTTGCCATTGATGGCTCCAAAGAAAAGTAGTGATAAAGCGAAGTAGAAGGGGTAAAAACAACCATAGATTTAAAAAAAGAAATTATTGTGAAATACGGGAATGGTGCTAGATTGTCTGATCACGCCTTGCAGTATGGCATGGTGAAGTCTACTATTTCCATTTTCCCTGTTTATATAAAATAAGAAAATCATAAAGAAAGCTAATGTTGTTCTGGGAGTGACAGCAATTGGTAAGCAAAGGCCTCAAGTAATTAGGGATATGGAAAAGTTGCTGCTTATCTTATAATTATTGTTGTTCAGGTAGAAGTTTTATTAATATTTCGGAATGCGTAAGAACATATTAAAAATACTACCATTGTTTATGAAAAAAAAGTTTAGGTAACGAACAAACCGGTAAGTGAACACTAATCCCGAACGAATTAAGCTTGGCTACAGAGGTATCACTGTAATACTTGATATCAACTGAACAGTTATGGAAAACTTCTCAAAGAATACGCTACGTACCAGCTGCAGATCTATCGCATTCTGGCCTCGAATCTCTACTTGAATCTCTTTTTTTTTCTTGGCTGCTTGAAGTTTTCGCAGATTCATTCCTGCAAAGGAATAATAAGCACTTGCAGTGTATGCTGTGGCACGAAAAACCTAGACGTGAGCTACTTTCCCTTTTAACAGGACGAAAATGAGCATTACCCTCCAACCAACAAGATAGTTCTCCTGTCCTGACAATATCCTACCATAGATACATGTCTGAACACCAAAGTTAGCTTCACATTATCACAAGATAATATTATGAGCACAAGCATAAATCTCGTTAAAGGACAATCAAACTTTTATTCATTTCCTAATAAACATTTGAGGCCTAGTATGAGTCACACTGTGTGACCACACATGTTTCCCATAACAAGTTGTGTTTTTAAAATGAGGTGTTCACCCCCAAATCTTGGGGCATATGACTAGAAGTCATAACTTAGAGTGAGAGAGAAAATTCAAATAAAAAAATTTTTAGTCGAGGTTAAGCCTTTTAATTCAATTTGAATAACTAGCATATCATACGAAATTAAAATTTTACGTCTCAGGCATTATGAAGGTATTCACTGTATATGTAAAATAACAATAATATATCAGTCCAGCGGTTCTCAAACTTTTTGTTCATTCCGCGCCAAATTATCAGGGAAAAAATCATGGCACACATACACAAAAAAATATACTAGTTATAGTAACACAATTCTGAGTCGCAAATCGTGTGTAGTGCGCAAATGCATAAATAACAAATAACGTAATACAGATTAAAAGGAAGTACTCGAACCTTGAACTACTTTCTTCATTTTTTCTATAATCAGATTGCTTATAGTTATCCTGATTTCTTCCATGACTTTGTTTCGAACGACCACTGCCACCATCTCCTCTTCGGCGGAAGTCTGATTCGTTTTCATAAGTATGACGCTGTGGTGGATCTCGACCAGCCCGATCATCTCGACGACCATCCCAATGTTGTCGGGGCTACAGTAAAAAACCATAATCTTTATTTATAACAAAACCTCATGTAATTTAAGTATTTAGACAGATACCTGCACTTTATTATGATTTATGTGTGATGTATTATATACACAACATTAAATTTGTAATCCAGGCATCTTGTACAGTATAGCCATTTTAAAATTCTCAACATAATTTTACCACAATCATCATTGTTTGGAATATTAGAAATTAACTTAAAGAAATACCCTTTCATTCTGTCGTGGTCCATTTGAGTCTGTTTGTTGATCACTACCATCACCAGCACTTCCGTTACTGTTACGAGATACATCATCTGATCCTTCAAGTATTCTAAAATAATATTATACAGTATACACATTGATAGATAAACCATTAATGATACACTAATAAAAAGTTTTCCAAAACTTGACCCCAACTATCAGTCCACACTGGTGATGAAGCTCATAAAATGTAATCAATGAATATACATGGATATATTCAATAAGTTTGTTTATAAATTTGTACCTCTCAGCCAGATCATCTTCTCTAGCATTTCCTTCAGCTTCTTCTCGTTCTCCCCGACTATCAATCTTCGGAGGACCTCTGCTCCATTGATTTGTTGGAGGTGGAGGAGCAGGAACAACTGTTTTTTTTTTACTGTCAGCATTATCCTGTATAAAATCCATGTTAAAGTAAGTGCCTCATATTGTATAGTTTTGAGTGCCAAACTTATGACTGCTTTAAAAATAGTTGCAATTCAAAAAGGAAAGCCAAAATACATTTCTTTCTTCATGGACATGGACAGTGGACAGTGTGAATTGTAAATAGATAAATAAACCAAACATGAAACAACAATGATGAATTCAGCAATGCTGTGGGACCAGAAGTGCCTAGAAAGACTGTAATTACCTCTGATGACGATGGTTTCCCAGGTGATCCTCTGTCATCTTTATCAGATGCGGAACGTTTTCCCCATGCTGATTGCTTAGGAGGGGGTGCTGGTCTATAATCTCGTTGCGACTCTTTGTCTTTGCTTACAGTTCCATCTTGTTGGTGACCAGGAGATGTACTTCGCCTTCTATGAGAATCTAGCAAAATAGTGTTTGAACAAATCGTTCAGGCTATTTCCCAGAATGACTCGTTTTGTTTAGCCGCATATTGTTACCCTTAAATTTAATCCATAAAATGATTGCATTTTCGTAATACAATTATAATATGTACATTGAAACCTCCTAACATGAGTCATATGGAATTATTAAGTCAAAAAAAGCGATGATTGTATTTGATAGATTTAAGATTTAGGTAAAAGAGGTCCAGAACAGTCACAAGTTCATCAACATTAAAGGTAGGCAACAGAATAGAATGTTGGCCTGGAATTTCCCTGTTTACCAAGACATAACAACAAACAAATTTGTGGAACTGAAAAACATTTTTCAAGGCATTTTAAATGCACCATTCACAAACCCTGCACATTTGAAACCCGATCAAAAACATTGCAGACCTTCATAATCTTTATCTGATAAAATTCGTTGAGGAATTCTTCTTGGAGATGTTGGATGACTGTCATCTGATCTTTCACTAGATCTTCTAGGTGCTCGTTTATAAGCGTTACTAAAAAGTAAAGATTGAATGTTATTTCATTCAAGCATCCACTAGATATTGGAAAATAAAAATGTTGGCCCTTATTAGAGGATTGTTCTATTGAAAAATTAAGTTTTAAGGATACAATAGATCAGGGCTACTCAATTATTTTCACCAAGGTCTGTACACAATTTAAAAATTACTGGGGTCCGGTCATTCCCAAAAAATATATCTTAAAAACGCAGACAAAATTTGAAATGCATTGTTTGACAAAGTACAAGAGCAATGTTCAATATCGCGCTTCATTGCCGGTATGACAAGGGTTCAGTTGTGTAGCTGAGCGCCAACTTTGCTGAAAAGATCTCAAATATTCACTCCACATAGCACACATAAATATATATATATTTAAAAGTCTTCAAGCTACTTAAATTATATATATAAATATAATAATAATATAATATAATAATTTATATGAATATAAATAAATTGAATATTTGGAATATATTAGTCGCGGACAAAAACAATTGGTTCCAAGCACAATAAGGAGAACCACAGCGTCCACAAGAATTCTAGCAAACGATTCATTAATTGACTTCGTGTCCGATAGCAAAGTTATTTTTGAATCGTTAGTCTGTGAAATTACATTTATTCGGTTCTGCCAATTATTTTCATCCTGTTCCTAGGAAATGAGAGTATACCATTTTGCAAAAATCGGGTTATTTGATCTATTTTTAAATGTTGGAAATACAACTACCGTAAAAACTGACAAATAGCATGCAAAACTTCAAAAACAAGCTAATGTTTACCACCATTTTTAAAAACTGTGAAAATGAATCCAAACGGCCGGCCTAATCTTCAGTTTGCACGCCATCATTGACATTTTGCTGATTAGCCAATGCTAAGGAACAAAACAGTTTAGTCAATGTTCTGAGAAACTTATATTGCGATAATTTTTACCTGAGTGATTTGGCGAAAAATGCATTACGATCACGAAATAAAAAGAAACAATGCATTCGAAATCATGAAGCAGTCACGGTCCAAATTTAATACTCGAAAGGTTCGGATTCGGACCAAGGTCCGCCAGTTGAGTAGCCCATGCAATAGATCATTGTATATATATATAGAGCTCAGATTCATGCAGTAGAATATACTCAAGCATGAATAATCAGTAAGACAAACATATATTCGTAAGAGCTTAGGCATTCAAAATCGCAGTAACAATGAATAAAATGAGAAAAATCACCGTTCATCTTTAACTAGGAAAACATTCTCTTCATCTTTTTTCATTTTTTCTTCAATCTGTTTTTCTCGTGTTGCTGTGTCAACTGGTTTTGCTGATCCAAATATAGAAGATGACCGAGTACTGTAAACATGCCCAAACATTAGTCAGATCATTTAGTGAAATTTTAAGTTTGTCTTCTCTTCAATTGAGCTCATGAGAGCTTGTAGGAAATAAAATTAATGCCGGTGTTTCTTTGCACAAAATTCAAATATTATACGAGATATTTTGCAGCTTTATTACGAATCTCCTATCAATGATTCTTACGTTTCGGTCTTTTCTTCCAGTGGAATACTTCGAGGTTGAAGTTTTAGCTGTGGTCTGGATGGTGGCTCATCTCTACCTTCATTTGATCTTTGACGTTCTGGACCTTGCAAACTCTAAATATAATATAATAAGAGGTACTAGAACATTGTATATTGAAGTATAAATCCTTTTTCCTTGTCTACCTCCTACTGTGAATCCTTATGTGGGCACAAGGATAATCGAACAAGATATTAAAGTGATAAAGAGGAATACCATGATCTCATTTCAACCCAATAGCAACAGTATTTGTTAGCTTTTGTAAACAGGCAAAACAAGATATGACGAAGAATAAAGATCAAAATAATTGTCAGGTCAAGTGACTACAACAAGATTCGAAACATATAGATCTCTCATTTTGGCTGTCTAGGCCAGGGGTTCTCAAACTTTTGGTGTTGCGGAGCCCTTGGAAAGGTTGACTATTATTCACGGAGCCCCAAAATAAACGTAAAAATTGTTACTTTCCGATTAATCTTCCTGAGTAAGTTAAACGTACTTTACTCAATTGAAATACTAAACCCTTTCAATAGGGTTAATACAAATCATAAATAAATCTAAATTTCAAAGATAAATTGTATATATTAGGGCTGTAAATTAGGGGTCGATTCTTTTCTCCTCTTGACATTTTTGGAAGACTTAAAAGGCCGCTAATAACGTGCGCGATTGCATTTTGTTACAATCGCCGATTGTTTTCGTCAGCATGGCGTGTTTTTAAACCTCAAACATCTTTACGCCGGTGTTTATTCTCCCTAAATCAAAAATTTCCCTCGGCATATACATGTTTTGTTCCACAATGACGACGATAAATGCTTTTTCGTTCTCGTGGGGAATTATGAGTTCAATGTGAAAAACATGTTACCATAATATAATCATCGGCGACGAAATACAACAAAATAATAGTTAATAAAGAGGTAAATCCGCAATTCAAATTTCTTGATTGAAAAGCGGCGTTCTAAAATATTAGAACTAAAACTTAAAATGGAAGATAACACTATAAGTTTTGTTTCAGCAGACTCACATCAGAATAAAAACGCTTTTATAGACATTGTAAATCACAAAATTTGGTGTTATGTTAGGTTTTCTTCGGTTATTCATCGTAGTAACTGCGAAATTGAAACACAGTCAATTAATTATGCGCACGATGTACCATTTTTCCATTCTGAAACTACCTACGGAGCCGCATGCACCAAAATAAATTTTGCCAAGACCTTGTGATTTTTCAAACGGCGATATCTTGCTTAAAAATAATCTCGAGTGCGAAAGAACAAATCAAATTTAACAAATCCCAAGTTCGCAAAAATACGACTCCAATTTATTTATAGTTGGCAGTTTATCACGCAGTTTATGTTATTTTACAATAGTATTTTTTCATTTCAGTAATCCTAATGGTAGTCTCGAAAGTGAGTAACGATGAGCACAATTAAATTATTGCGACAAGACACTTTAAATGCTCGCAACGGTAATGAATTGAACATTTTACGCAACAGAAATCTCCTTATTCGTTTTTTTTTTAATCGCAAAGAATGTTGCGCTGAAATTTCCGATTCCAATTGTGAACCTCCTCCCTCTTAAGAATCCTGGCTGCGCTCCTGCTTATAAATAATGTCATTTTAATTCCGTCACTTTGCCATATTTCGAGGCTATATTGTTGTCAAATTTTATCAAAGCTGTTATTGCTTCTAGGAAAAGTTTTGAATTAGCCAAGTCAGTATTTTGAAAAGTAATAGAATAGCTCGCGGAGCCCCTGGTTTTCTCTCGCGGAGCCCCGGGGCTCCGTACGGAGCACTTTGAGAACCTATGGTCTAGGCTACAGATTTTCATATATCCTGCAGTAATGTAATAATTCCGATATTTTATTTACCATGGCGAAGAAGCGACAATATGAAGAAGACTATTTGAAGTATGATTTTACATCCTTGGTCACCAGCGGCATTGAGAAGCCGCAGTGTGTATTGTGCAATGTTGTTCTCAGTGCTGAATCCATGAAACCGTCCAAATTGAAACGTCATTTGGAGAAAAGGATTACAAATACACCGCGAAGAACGACATGAAGCCGCTACCGCTATAAAACGTCAAAGACTTGATGTTTCTATCAAGAAAAACAGGCCTTAGTGCAAGCGTCCTATGAAGTTTCTCTGCAAATTGCAAAAAAAAGCCTCACACAATTGGAGAAACTCTTGTTAAGCCGTGCTTGTTGAAAACTGTGAAATTGATTCTCGGAGAAGAAAGCGTGGCAAAAGTAAAACAAATTTCCCTTTCCAACACTCCTGTTCAGAGGCACATCTCAGATATGTCCGAAGGCGAAAATTTGGTGGTAAATGAAATTAAAGCATCTTCAATGTTTTCCTTTCAGGTTGATAAATCAACAGACGTTAGTTCATGCGCTCAACTGATGGTTTTTGCAAGATATTTTTATTCACGAGACATCAAAGAAGAATTCCTCTTTTGTCATGAGCTTGCCAGTACAACTACAAGCTCAGATATTATGGAGAAAATTAAAATATTTTTCGAATCCGTAAATCTAGAATGGAAACGTGTTTGTGGAGTTTGTACTGATGGAGCTCCTGCCATGCTAGGGTCACGTTCGGGGTTTCAAAAGAAAGTCAAAGAACTTGCTTCTGAAGCCAAAGGTACACACTGTGACATTCATAGATATGCGCTTGCAAGTAAAACTTTGCCAACCTCACTGCAAAATGTACTAGATTCGGTAGTCAAAATCGTAAAAATACATCCAAACCGGAAGCCTCAACACACGCCAGTTTAAAGAACTTTGCAAAGATATGGATTCAACCCACAATGTTGTATTTTTCCATACGGCTGTGCGATGGTTGTCCAGAGGAAATGTTCTGAACCGCATTTTTGAGATGAAGGAAGAATTGAAGTTTTTTATCTGCGATGAAAAAACCTGAATTTCCTTCCTACTTTAATGATCAATTGTGTGGATGAATTCTCTTGCCTATTTGGCCGATATTTTCGAAAAACTGAACATTTTAAATTACAAGGGAAGGGTGCAAACATATTCAGCATAATGATCATCTGGTAGCATTTGTCTTTAAGTTGAAAACCTGGCGCCGAAAAGTATCTGAAGGAAACATTGCAATGTTTGAGAGATTATCAAGCGTCAATGAAGATTCGGAAAACCTTCAAGAAGATTTGAAAAGCTGTATTGTAGAGCACCTTGATTAATTGCAGTCAGAATTTCGAAGGTACTTTCCAGACCTAGAAGAAAATGAATCTATTCTGACACGTAATCCCTTCTCTGGACGTAACCGATGTACCAGAGGATGTGCAAGATCAATTTCTTGATCTTCGTTGTGATTCAGTCGCACGTGACCTATTTTGTGAAAAATCACTAGCCCAATTCTGGTGCTCCATGTATGAATCCTATCCACAACTGGCTGAACTAGCTTCCCGAATTCTGCTACCTTTTGCCAAAACGTACCTGTGCGCAGGGATGGCCAATACCGAATAGTTCACTATTTCGAATACATTCGAAATTATTATTTTCGAATATGAAATTTCGAATACTTCGAAAATAAAATCCAGTAATAGAATCTAAGTGTATGAAGGAATTTTCATACAATAAACAATGGAATAACTTCTATCTAAAACCTGGCTATATTACCAGGCATTTCATGTTTGCAGATTATTGCGATATATATTTTATATAACATGAGTTGTGTTAATTAACAGAATTAAAATAATACGACAAGGCATTTTAAATAGTGGTATCGGTGATGGATTTGAATATTTGCGCAACACAAAATCATCCTAGTAAAACGCCCATACTTTTAAATACCAACCATTATCCAAATTATTTGTCAAAAAGCGGGATAAAGTATGAGTTCTTTTTCAGACTTGTGACAATTTTTTCGTGAGTACAAACATACGAATCAAAAAGTATTCGGGAACTTTACCACACATTTTAAGTCCGCAGATCGCCGTTGTATGTTTGTGTAATAATACTTTTATTATTTTATAAACACGAAAATAGGGTTCAAAAACTATTTATAATCGGGTAGTTTACCACACATTCAATGTCCACAGATCACCGTTGTATTTTGTAAATACGAAAATAGGAATCAAAAATTAATATCAATCGCGAGTTTGCCTCACAATTTATGTCCACAGAATGCCGTGATATTGTGCCCGAATATAATTAATTTTTGATTCTTATTTTCGTACTCACGAAAAAATTGTCACAAGTCGGAAAAATAATTTATACTTTATTACACATTCAAGTCCACAAATCGCCGTTGTATTTTTGAGTTATAATAGTTTTAATATTTTGTAAATACGAATCGGAAATTAATTATAATTGGGCAGTTTACCACACATTTCATGCCCACAAATACCCGTGGTAATTGGTATTAATACTTTCATTATCGATACTTTTGACCATCATTATCAAAATTATTTGCCAGAAAGAGGGTGAAAGTATTTTTCTAATAAATAAACTTGTTTCTCAACTTGTGACAATTTATTGGATATCGTAACAATTACGGCTATGAATACCGTATTTCCCGGCTAATAAGTCTACATGGCAAATAGGACGATGTATATTTTTAGCACTCAAAAAAAGGGGGTTTTCCATATAGGCCTCCAAGAAGACGGGGAGATAAATTGTTCCCTGTTGTTCAGTTATGCTAATATGCGCTAATAATAATGTTTAGAACCAGATCACGTTTGTTTAGTAGAATCATACTCACAGAATTAACTATTTTTAACAATAAAGCGGTAATTTTAAGTTAAAAATCACAATCATTTTGAACAATCTATAATTTTATAGGGTCAGAACCACATCGTGTTTGTTTGGTAGAACCATACTCACGGAATTAACTATTTTCAACAATGAAGCGGTAAATTTAAATTATAAAGCGGCAATCATTTTGGACAACCTATCAACCCGAATGTTGAAATAATTTTGGAATGTGATAAGTACCACACGGTACGTCCACGGGTTATTTCACAGCTGTGTTTCATGTCCCTGTCGTTTTCTGCTGAATCGGCAAAACCAAAGGGTCATAAATCACTTACTTTATCTCGGTGGCCGTGATTTCTCTTTTAAGTAACGATAACCGGCCTACGATTAAATATCATGATTGGCAGACCCATAAGAACCAAATATAAGGTTAACACAAATTATGCTTGAGAAGACTAATGCGAAAAATAAGCAGGCCACATAGAAATAAAATAAACATACTTTCTCAATAAGGCGCCCCTCCCCCCAAAAAATCAAGCCAAAATTGGGTCTAGAAAAGCGACTTATTAGCCGGGAAATACGGTGATTGTCGATTTTTCGACTAATGGAAATGACTTTGTGAATTAATAGACGAATGTCGGCAATGTCCACCAACGCAAACGTGCAAATGTGTCGCAACACTATGCGACGTACATTCGCGCTGAATATAAACAATCAAAATGCCGACTCTATTTCATCGTCATTACAATACGTGAGAAAGCGTAAAAAGTCGTTTGAAGATTCCGGTAAAACGAAACACAATGTTTACGGCGAAAAGTGACTACTATTCGTAATTATTCGGAAATGAGCCGAAAAGGTATTCGAATACTTTGATATTCGAATAATTTCGAATATTCAATTCGTTTTGGACAACCCTGCCTGTGCGAAAGCGGCTTTTCAGCTCTTCTTCATATAAAAACAAAGGCACAAAATAGAATGAAATTCGGGGATGATATGAGATTAGTTTTTTCAAAAACTCAACCACGAATTACGTGGTTTTCAATGCCAGCTGTCACATTTAGTAAAACTGCAGCTTGATGAAAAATTAAATTACACAATGTTCACTTTGCCGCTCATTTTATTGATAAGTATGGAAAGTGAGGCAGGGGGTCACGAAGTATGTGTAAACCACCAAAGGGGGGTCGCGAGCCAAAAAAGGTTGGGGACTACTGGTTTAACACATATAGGCCAGTTCGTGTTTTCCCCTACACAATAGATTTAGAAAAATTATAAATAGAAAAAATGTTCCGAACATTCAAATCTAAATGTACAGATAATGCTATATTTAATTACTTCATTTCTCCATTTTGAACCCTCTTCACCTCTGCCATAATCATCTCGACGTTCATCCTACGAATAAAAAAGTAAGATGCGCTGAAATAAGCCTGAAAATAACATTGATAAAAACAAAAAAATTGCATCCATCAACAGAATGGTTAGGGTGACATGCTCCTTTTTATATAGATTGTTCACATGTACTTTCTTTTGTGCAATTCTTAGACAAACTATAATTTAAAAAAATGAGTTACCTGATATCTATCTCTACCATAATCGCCATCCCTGTTGTTATATTCATCTAAAAACAAGATTGAGATGAATAAGACTGGGATTAATATGAAGAGTCGTTCATTTCTCGTCTACTCAAATAAAGTCTTACTTCTATATCCTCCACTTCTAGTATAATATCCCGAGTCTTTTTCTCCACCATACATTCCACCACCGTAATCCCTGTCTCTCCCATAACGTCTGTCCCCACCATAGCCACGATCTTTATCATAACCATGGTCGCTTCCATATCCACGATCACCACCATAGCTTCTGTCATATCCCCTATCTTTGCTATATCCACTATACTCCCGATTTCCCTCATATCTTCGATCACCACCATATCCACGATCTTGATAATCACCTCCTCTGTTTTGATCATCTCGACCGTAAGAATCTGTTCTTTGATAATCTAGAAGATGAAATTGTACTCTGCCAGTTTTATCTATCCCCGAAACAAATCTACAGTAACATTACATTGAGCAATACTAGAAAGTTCTCTATCAGGGAACTAAGCATACAATGACAATTATACAGAGGCCTATATAACAGTCATAGTTACATATGATGTAAGAGAAAATGTGCACATGTGAAGTATGAATGTGTTAAACAGAAGTTTATTATTAACAAATCATACTTGAGCATTATATGAGACCAAATCACTAGATACTATTTTGAGGTACTTACTACCTCTATAAGAGCGTTGACCGTGTCCACTGTCATATCTGCCATAATCACGACGACCATAAGAGTCTCTTTCGCCATATCGGCGGTCTTCTCGGACTGAGCGATAGGCACTCTCGTCGTAACCTCACCAAAAAATGAACATGAAATTAACTATAAGAAAAAGTTGATATGCCAACAAATTCCTTGACTAAAGATTTTTAATCTCCTTTAAAAGAAAAAAAATTGCATACCCCTGTTAGACTGCGGTGGTCTGAAATCTTCATTTGGTTTTCTTCTCCACTCTCCCTCAGTTACATCTGGTCCCTCAAAACCACCTCCCATTCCAAAGCTTTGGTTACCATATCTATTATTGCCACGTCGACCATCTAAATACAGATCATCATACCATTTTTTATATTCAAATAAGTATGAGGCAGGGATGGCCAATACCAAATAATTCACTCTTTCGAATACATTCGAAATTATTATTTCCGAATATGAAATTTTGAATACCTCGAAAATAAATTCAAGTAAAGGAAGCTTATTTCAGTGTATGAAGGAATTAGCATACGATAAACAATGGAATCACTGTTACCTACAAGCTGGCTACCAGAAAATTTATATCCGCCGATTGCCATGATATTTTATAGTAGCATGCCCTTTTTATTTTCGTAAGTAGGAGAGTAGAATCAAAATTAATTACAATCAGGCAGTATGCTTCATGTTCACAGATTGCTGTGGGATTGATTTTACAGTTATTTTAAAAAAAGTTATTCTTTTATTTTTCCGTAGGACGACGCCACCATGAGTTACGTCAAAAATTAAAATCGGGCAGTTTACCTCACATTTTATGTCCAAAGATTGTCACTTATTTAAAGTTGTAATGTTATTGTTTTTCGTAAGAGCGAACCTCGGAATCAAAAATTAATTATAATCGATCAGTTAACCACAAATTTTATGTCCACACTCCACAGATTGCCATCGCCGTATAAATGTAGTAGTGCATTAATTTATTCGCGAGTCCATGCAGCCATGAGGTATGTTAAACACAATTACATTAATAATACGGAAGGCATATTTTAAATGCTGTTATCGGTCATGGATTTGAATATTTTGCCTCAACAGAAAATCATCCTAGTTAAAAGTCCATACTTTTAACTATCATTCTCAGAATTATTTTTCTAAAGCGGGAAATAATATAAATTATTTTTCCATGGGTACAAAAATTTAAATCAAAAATTGATTGTAATCGGGCAGTTTACCACACATGTCCACAGATTGGAATTATCGAAAATCATCCAAAAAAGTATTCGAATACTTTGATATTCGAATATTTGATTCGTTTTGGACAGCCCTGGTATGACGCGAAGTTGTGCTTGTGAGCTCACTTCAAGAGTTGTCCAAAAAGGATCGAATATTCACATTATTCGAATACCATCTCAGCTAATGTTGAAATAATTCTGAATACTGGCGACTTTGTGCCGTCAGCAAGGTGTTTTATTGGTGAGGGAAATCATCAAACGATTTTCTGTGCTTTGTTACTTGTTATTATGACGATGAAATAGAATCGGAAATTTGATTTTTTTTTTATTTTCTGTGCAAACGCCTAACGCGCAGCGCATATTGTTGTGACATTCCCGCAAGGCTGCATTGTGGACGTTGATTGTTTGTTATCTTCTGTGTGAACGCGCGGAGCATAATGAGGCAACATTCCTGTAACGCTACGCTGTGGACATTGTTGCTATTCCTTGCAGGGCTACCACTTAATTTACGCATTCATTCCCAGTTACATTAGAAAATTGATAAAAAACGTAAAGCCGTATTTAATAACCAAACACACTCACTTTTAGAAAGCCGCCCCGCAGAGCGTTCCAGCCAATCCTTGCCATACCGTCAGTCCTGCACTTCACGAACGAAATTTAAATGAAATTTGATAAAATATTTTGTACTCTTATTTAAATTTGACATAATCCAGTATTTCTTGAAAATGGTTGGTCAAATTAATGGAGAGCAATATTTAAAATGATGGCGGTTCACGCGTCTCGTATAGATCCAACAAAGGTCAGATATTATTAATAAATAAGTTCATGCGCTTTGTTACGATACCCAATAAATTGTCGCAAGTAAGAAAAACAAATTGAATCATTTGGACGGTTAGGAAAAAATAATTTATCCCTTTTTCACTTTTTGGCAAATAATTTTGATAATAATAGTTAAAAGAATAGACTTTTCCAAAGGATGATTTTCTGTTGCGCAAGATATTCAATCCCTTACTGAAATCAGCATTCAAAATGCCTTGCCATATCAACTTAATTCTGTTTAATGTAACTCATGGTTGAGCCGACTTACGGAAAAATAAAAGCATACTAGCACTAGAGATGCGCTTTTTTTGACTCTGATTCGAGTCCACGTCATTTTTACCGAGTTTATAATCAATTCTGTTTTTACCAATTTACACCTATGTTTGTACTTTTACCTCTATAAATCTCACTACATACCTTAATAACTAGTTGAAATTCAAGGTTAGATTTGTAACAATATCCCTCGTGTGCATTATAAACACTCCTAATAGAAACGACGACAGATATCCAGATAATATAACGCGAGTTAAAAACTATCGATAGCTTATAAAAATGATGCGCAAATCGCCTTCAAACTATCTATCTTTTTTGGTATACATGTGGCACACAACAAAATATGTGTTAGCGCAATATTTTGAGTTTTCGATACGCGTAAATAAATATGTAACATGATCAGGATCAACCCAAATGGGAATCTCATCAATACCTCTTTTAAATCGAGTTTATTACATGCAATCCTTTCTCTAAAAGGGAGCAATGGAAAGCATGGAGCGTTTTAGAATGTTTACATAAACTACTAAATTGCAAGCATTGTATTGACGATGAGTGGCAACTCTCTACCAATTGCGCACGCGATATAGTAAATTTAAGGCTAGAAATATCTGGAATTATGGGAAAGCATTGTAGTCAAAATATTTTTCATTTTCCATATTGACATGTAAGAATTTCTAAATAGCCGCCCAGAATTGACGCAAGGTGGTGGGCTAAAAATCCAGTTCACAGCCAAGGCGCACATTGACCCACGTTTACGCTTGTATTATGACCGCCAAAAAAAAGAAAAATATATTTTTAAATTGATTCAACAGCTATCTGCGTAACCATTAGGCAAAAAATATGAGCTACGACGTATGTTCGTGAGCGCACGATGCTGTAGTATGGTCAAAAACGTGTTTTTCTACTTTAACATTGTGACGTCACCGACGAGTCCCTGATCTAATACTCGGATTCGTCGAATCTCTGTAATGTCGGACTCGTCCCATCCCTAATAACTACACTAAAATACCAAGGCAATCTGCAGACATAAAATCTGTGGCAAACTGCCCAATTATAATCAAATCTTGATACTTATTATCATACTTACTAAGATCCGCAATACAATTCCAAGGAATTAGAAATTACTAGAAACCACTTGTTATTGCAAACTGTAGCCAGCAATTTCACACTGATGTACAGTACCTTGATTTTTTGATCCAGCAACATCCACTCTTATTTGTCGTTTGTTAAAAGTTTCTTCATTATGTTGCAAAGCCTGAGCAAGAGAATGCCTATCTTCAAACTCAACATATCCATAGCCCTTGAAACGACCATTTTCTTCGGGAAGACGAACTGAGATGAGCTGAAAATCGTGAATAGTATTTGATTAATTACTTCAACAAGAAACTTTTCTTTAAAATTATCAGCTACCAATTCAGATACCAGTAGATAGAGATTAGGAGGAAACTTTATAAGAAGTCAACACTGTCAAAGAAAAAACTGAAATGAAGTGAATTTCATACCTACATGAGGTCCTTGGGAGAAAAACAATGGCAGAGTGGTTTTCTTTACAAGCAAAAAACCTTTATGGTGTATCAATAACTAACAAAATCTGTTATATTTAATATATAATATGTTATATTCATAACTGGACTGAGAACCCGGCAACCACGAGGAATAAACATAAAAGACTCAAGTTTAAAGGAAAAGATTTTAAACAAACACAAACAAAAAAGTTCAAAAACAAACACTGGAACATACAAATAGACAAACCTGGAAACCCCCAACATCAATCTTTTAGACAGCACAGTAGAGACAGACCTATCCCACCCCTCTCTAATATTTACATAATTTTTATTATAATATTTTAAACTGACAATTGATCTTTATTATTTGCAGCCAGTTCTTGTTTTGTCTGAAGAAGTTAAACTATAATCTACGAATGCTCACAAATATACTTGATATTTCGTGGAAAGAGATGATGTTATTCCCAATATTTATAACTTCGGATTATTTATGACCCTTGTCATTAATGGGCAAGACTTCATAGAAAGACAATGAACAAGCAGCCAAAGCAGGGGTGTCCGATTCGAATTTAATGTTCGAATACCGTTTTTGTGACCATAAGAATACCTAATATCGCTCACACATCCTAGCGCCGACGTCCACATTAAGATTGATAACATTGATTTTTTTCGTAATGGGAGGCCGATATGTTCAGTGCGGCAATAAATTACTGCCGACATTAAAGATTTCAATTAGCGCCGACTTGAAGTGCTTATAACATGTGGATGTTATAATTAAAAATATTTTACAATTATTATCGTATATTTCAACTTAGCCGAGATAGTTTGTGAGGCCACGGCAATAAATCTGATAGCAAATTGTGTCATAATTAATCGTCCCCATCCTCAGTTTCAATATTAATCAGGCATAACGAGAAATTTTTGTATTTCTTGCAATTTAAAAAAGCGTATAAAATAGCTTTTAAATATTATTTAGTATCTGTCGCGGATTTTATCATCATCCCAGCATCGTTGATTAAATATGGGTAAATATGAAAGCATAACATCTAATATGAAATATTTTTCGGTCTTAAATAAAAATTAAAACCTGTGGTAGCACATCAATTAATTCTTGTGTAGCGGGATAATTGTGGCGGAATTTAGCTAAACCATGTCAATGGGCTAAATAACACTCACTCTGACAATAAACAGTCAAAATTTATAACAAAAAAGTTTGTGCTGTTATTAAGTATTTTTCTGTAGATTTTAAAAAATTTCACTCATTGCATAGTTGCCCTTTTTCTATGCTTGCCAAGATACCCTACATTCCATAGGTGCGAATACTGTACGTTATTTAAGTCTCTTTTCTCACAAGCAAAAAAACCCACTAATTTCAATCTTATCACACATGCCACTTGTATTTACAGCGGCTTTACAATGATAACATTCCTATGTCCCTGGATTTCAGAAAAGTGAATAAAATTTATGTGGGCAATTTTAAAAGGTGTTCAACATGGTTTTGAAAAATATATAAAAATTTTCATAGATGACAAAAAGTTCTTATTTTAATATTTGAGCAGATAATATAAACCATGTAGGCCTATGTGCAGTAGTTGTTAAGTGTCTGTAAATAACCTTTAATGAATATTCAAAGCTGAAAAGCTAAAAAGTTTTTCAATTATATGTACCGTGAGAATTTATTGCAAAAATGACCTAAAATAGGGCCAGAAGGCCCTTTTTAGGTAGAATTAGCATTAAAGAAGAAAAGAAACAAAAGGAGGTTTCAAAAAAGGATGTTTCTCAATCTCAAAATAGTATAAACAATGTATATTTGTCAGTCCACAATACAAAAAGTACAAAATGACTAATACCTTCAAATCTTGGAAAAACTCAGCTAACATTTCTTCATCAGCTTCATATGGCAAGTTTCCAACAAATGCAGTATATGGTGGTTCGTTAGGAAGCTTACTCATATCAACCTCAATAGTTCTTGAAGCTCTGGGGCCAGTGGGAAGACTGGATAATATTTTTTTATTGTTGTATGAGCTCTGATAGTTGAGATCTGTGAAAAGCAGATGTTATTTCCAAAATTGAGAACAGAATCAAATAATTCAACATCACCATTCGAATCCCAAATATTTTAATAATATTAGTGTATTACAGAAATGCAAAATTTACTAAATAGACACCTTGAGCCTTGAGTAGTATCAACGAACTTATTAGGGATATCCTCATCGTTTCCATTTAGCGTTATATTCGAATATTTTTCTTTTTACTATAGTTGATTGTAATTTAAACAGTGCGCAAAGCTTGTGACGACGGTCGCTCAAATATTTTTTTGTTAGGCCGCATAGTTCAAAATTAGAATTTCTCATAAAACAGTCGCCGCTAACATGGTGCTTGAAACAGCCAATTTTTTCAGCAGATAATGATTTTTCTGTTGCACAAATTATTCATTCCGTGACCGATACGAGCATTTGAAATGTCTTTCCATATTAATTTTGCTAATGGTAACTCGAAGTTGCGACGACAAAATAAAAGCACTCCACTCTAATAAAACATCAAGGCAATCTGCTGACATAATAATGTTAAATAAACTGCCCGATTATATTTAGTTTTATTAATACATATTTTAGCAATCTCGCGAATTCGTTATCGTAGTTAAAAAAATTTCCAATATTTCCTATAAAATCCCAGGGAGTACAATTTAATCCAGAAGTCTACAATAAAAATATATATGACGTATATTAGTATATCAAAAAATACATATCCATCGCTTCGAAATCCCCATGGAAGGTTTCTGAAACAGTAGTCGCGATTACGCTATTCGTTACTAGTTGGCTTATTCAACAGAAATATGATTTTTCGGTTGTATAAAATATTCAATTCAATTACGCTATTCGTTAACAGTCGGCTTATTCAACAGAAATATGATTTTTCGGTTGTATAAAATATTCAATTCATGACTGATATGAGTCAGTTTAAAATGACTTTTAATATTTATTGCTCTAAACTCGCAGTTGCGACGACAACTTCAAAATCAAAGCACTCTACTCCAATATATCACGAACGATAATCTGCACATCAGTGTTAACTATTAGTGAATTTTTTTGCGAAAACTGCGAGGCACCTTCGCAGTTATTTTTAGAGACCGCAAAATCAACATTTTTTTCTTTTTTTGGAGCGAAAAAGTTGACATATAATTTGCCTGTGAGTAGAAAGTTGACTAATAAACTGTGTACGAGTAATTTTGTAAGCCAATTTTGCTTTACATAACGATATTTGAGGAAATTATAACTATGAGGTGCAGACATGGGAGATAAAGCTATCTGAATTTGGCATTAACGGCAAAATTCATGTTTATAATATAATGTTTTATACAAGCACTCCACTTTCACTTCTCCCGCAAAAATGCTCGACGACATCGGCTTGAAATTAGAATGCAAGGCCTTGGTGTTTCTATGAACGAGAGTATTCATTTGACCAAAGTGCACAATTTGCTAGTGCAAAAATATCTGAATGAAAATGCATTAAATTAAAAGTGAAAGTTTTTCAGGTACTCGTTCCCCTGCCATTCAGAAAGTTCTGATGCCACACATGGCATAGTTTGGTGATGTAATGTTAATTTAGCCCATAATTTTTTGAATTAAAAGAGAAATATTCAATTAACAGCATCCCACAAATTTGCGAAATCACCAAATTTACACAAAATATGGTTTTGTCGTATTAACATCCGTTTTAATGCAACCACACATGATAACAGCACAGGAGGTCCTCGACTCACAACGTTGTTCCGTTCTTGAGATGCGGTGTAACCCGAATTTCCATGTCAGTCGGAAAATTATACATAAATTACAGTCACAGTCGAACGACTAAGGCCAAGCGGGTGTTTCACCATTTTAGATCACTTGATAATGTCTGATTTCACTTCCATGCTGATGGCCTTTATTTTCTTTGATGCACTAACATTAGTAACATCTCTTTACGCTTTGAGTCCATAACAAAGGGCAAAAAGTTAAAAAAAACGATCAAACAAGCTACGAAAAAACAAGCTTAAACAACCAAAAAGGCGTATCACTGAAACTGTGTACCATGTGACTGGAACTTAGTGCAGTGGCGCAGCCAGGGGAGGGAGGGAAACGCCTTTACATTGGTGTTTATTTTCTCTAAATCACAAATTTGTGCCACGGTAACAATGATAATTATTTTATTTTTGTGCTCGCACAGAATAGTGAAAACTGAAAAAGTCAATAACGCGTGCAATTGCCTTCTGCTAAAATCGTCGATTGTTCCATCAGTGTGTTATTTAGGCCGTAAATGCCTTTACATTGGTTAATTATTTTATTTTTGTACCTGCACAGAATTGTGAATTCGGTGAGAGTTATTATACGTTCATCGGCGGCAAGGTTCTAAATCAGAGGTGACGAACCTGCGGCCCGCCAAGGACTTCCGTGCGGCCCACGAAGCATTCAGACAATTCAGTGTATGTTTGGCGTAAAGTCACAAACCTTCAAGAACTGTACATAGAGAAGGGAAGCGCAAGTGTTACCGTATTCATATTACTGGCAACAACACTATTTCCAACACATCTATTTTTTTGGATCATCGATACCTCTAACAATGGATCAAAATGACCATTGTCGTAGCATAGTTACGCTCTCTTATCGGCAAACGCATACGGTTTAATGGAGGAGTAATCTCACTTTATGATATGTGATATTTTTGTGCCCGATACACGTGATATTTGAAAGTAATAAAAAGTTTATAACTTCTGCTCAATGATTAAAACAATGGTAGATCCCAAAAAAATGACTATGTTTTAAAAATCAGTTAATGTGATTAGAGGGATTCGTTTACAATTTTTGTATCCGAAGGCCTGCGAAATACGGATCTTTTGTACAAAGCCTCCATCACTAATGCAAAAATATGTAATTAAAAAAAAAAACTACGTTCTGAAATAACAAATTAGTAACTATCCAGTTGCGGTTCGGGTTAGGAGTGATTTGAGGTTTTGAATTTCCGACGCAATCTGGATTCTTAGCCCCCACCCACTCTAAAAATGTAATTGAATTATTTATAATTCACATTCAATTTTGAGCGGAGGCGCTGGTTTTTTATAAGGAATCTTTGTACAAAGGATCCCGAAATACTTTTCTGAGGCATTATCAACTAGAATTTTCCTTATTAACGCGACACAAAATGTCATGAATTAAGATTCGATAATGCGTAGGTTGATATTATCATTGGGGGAAAAGGGTAAATCGTAACGAATCCTTAAATTTTTATGCAACTGTCGACGCAATTAGGCAGGTTACTCGTGAAAAGAGCCCACTTTTTCGACGGATAATGTTTTTTACTGTTATGTTATGTTGTCGTTTAGCGATTTTGCAGTTGTGCAAAATATTTCATTGGCGACAAATAGGAGTATATTTTTAATTTATTGCTTTCTAACTTTAATTCTGTGTTTAATATAACATGCAGCTGCAGCTACAAATTAAGAACATTACTACAATGAAATATTACATCAATCCACGGCTATAAAAAGTGTTTCCAACTGCCAGATTATATTTAGTTTTGATTCATATTTTTGCGATGTTACGAATTAGTTATACAAATATTATGATGTTCTTGCATCACTGACTGTCTCTATCACTAGATATTTATATCAACGTCCGAGAAATCCCTAGATCTGCTATAAAATATCAAAGACTATTTCAATCAGTACATTAAAAATTGATTTTGCATTAACATGCAGGTAGTAGACTCAAACTTTCGTGTTAAAAATGCTGTGGTATTCGAATGGAAATTCGGATTTCGAACATCCGAGCCGAGCGTTTATATTGCTTTATATAATTGAATAACATCAGCTGTATGGATGCCGTTGTTCGTTTTGTAGATGAAAATCAACAGGTATCATACGGTAGTACAACTAAAAATTGTGCGGCCCGCTCACTCACGGTGACTGATAAAGTGGCCCGCGACCGCAAATGGGTTCGACATGACCCGACATGAACTGGTATCTGGATTAGGGATGTACCGATGTATCGGTATCGGTAATATCGGTCATTTTTTCGGTATCGGCCATGTATCGGTATCGGTTAGATTAAGGCCGATATTTCCGATATATTTACCATTTTGATATGGTCCAGAATGTTTTAAAAGATAAGTTGTAATACTACCTCTTAATTTATTTTTTGTCTGGAGAGATCGTGAGCTATGAGCCATACATGTCCCACCCCCGCGATAGAATAGGATTCACGTGTTTTTAGCTATTTATCAGCCAAACTAGCTCAACTAATTTGGCTATTTTCGCTGTCAAATATTTATATTGACATTTTTAATATTACATAGTAATTATGAAGAAATATATCAACACAGCACATAACAAAAAGCAACTAGGCACCCAGTTTTAAATCATACAGTGGAATTGGGGTCCCTATTAACGGCACATAGACTTTTGGCACGGGTATAAATTCTGACTGTTTGTCGTCAAGTACGAGTGTCATTTAGTCCGTCGACATCGATAAACTAAATTCCGACACAATTATCCATCCCTCTACGCAGGTATTATTTTTAATTTTGTTTAACTACACAATTACTTTATAGATTTATTAGCATGGCCGCCTAGCCCTAGACTGTCTCAAAATATATGATAACAATTGTAAAATGTTATAAAATAGTAAAGTAAAAAAACATCCTCGACGGTTATGGGTAATCCTCCTTTTTGTCGGTGCTGATTGATAGTCTTTCATGTTGGCTTTGGCTTATTGCTTCGACGATTACGATTAGCCACGAAATAAAAAACTTGTAAAATGCTTTTAATTTGAACGTAGGACGGCGGCGCTAGAATGTGTGGGCGATATTCGATATTCTTTTAAACACGAATAACGATATTCGAGGATCGCGATATTAACATTAAATTCAAATTGGACATCCCGGCTTATAGAGTTTTCTAATTGAACACCGAGATTACTAGCGTTACTGTACAATGTATCTTAATCAGTTAAAGCAAGCACCAAACATTAATTTCATATTATGTGATATATATTTTTTTCGATCTGAAATAATGTGTACTATGAACAACGCTCAAAGACCATTGTTTTAACCCGTCTGCCTTACACAGCACACCTAATTAAGTAATAATCACATAGTATCGGTATCGGAATATCGGTAATATCGGCCTTTTTGTAGTATCGGCGTATCGGTATCGGCGTTTTTAGCTGGTATCGGATCGGTATCGGCGACAAAAGTGGTATCGGTACATCTCTAATCTGGATGAGAGGCTGTGGTTTGCCATATGATTAAGCCGTCTTATCGGATTTCCCATCTCCCAGGATAAAAATGTAAATCCTTTATCCTTTATTTTTTTAAAGACAAAACAATTGTATATTTAGCTTTAGATGGGGGTGGTTCTCAACCTCCGATCCACTGAATATATAACAATAGGCTAGTGGCGCAACCAGCGAGGGGGTTACGGGGGTCGTGTCCCCCCCGTTTGACATTCGTTTTTTTTTATTATTGTTCTATGTTCAAACAACGTCGTTCTACGGTCATAACAATCCGGTGGAAACTACTTTTTTTCTAGTGCTTTATCACCTCGACGTAATTTAACACCGTCCGAATTCAATCATACTTTTTGCTGTTAGTTACGTAATAATCGCTATCCCCGCGTATATGTTTGTATTGGAAAATGAGATATGTTACCTCAAAAAAGTAGAAATCGCCCGCTGTCGATGCGAATTGAAAGCGACAATAGCATAATGCTATCACTCTCTCTCTTGTGACGGATACTCTCGTGCTTCATCATCTTGACGCAATGTAACGCCGCCCGTCTTCATGTTATAATAATGCAGTAGAAACTCTGAAAATCTTGATACGAAAATTAATTTTGGAAAAATATTGCTTCGATTAACCTAAGATTTTCTACATATGAAAGGCCGAAAACCGAAAACGCCGTACACATCCTAGCGCCCCCGTTTTTTATCGCAATCGAAAGCAGTCATGTGTGGCACGGCAATAACTAACAGTCGTCGTGAAAGGTTTTCAATAAACTTCGACTTGAAGTGCTTATGAGACGTCAAGGACGTTTTTGGTTGAAAATTTTTTACATTTGTTATCGTATATTTCAATTTAGTCAAGATATGTTGTGTGCCTCGGCAATAAACTTAAAAGCAAATCCTGCCCTAATTAATTGTTTTCATCCTCCGTTTCGATAGTTATCGAACTTAACGGAAAATTTTTTAATTTCTTGCAATCTATAAAATAGCTTCTAAATATTATTTGGTTTCTATCGGAGATTTTATCGTTATCCCGACGTCGTAGATAACAATATCGTTCATTTTAGGTTGGAGGTATTGGTTTATAATCAAAAAATAACATGAAAAATTTAAATCAACGCCGACTCAAAAAGTAAAACACGCTTTTCCATCTTTATTCTCCATTATTGGCGGACGGAAATTTGGGAATCGGGTTTAGCTAATTTGATTATGATGACGATGGTAAACAAAAGTACACAAACATACCATACCGTTCTTAGTTTTTAGTCGTTATTTCTCTGTCCTTTCTTCTTTCTATGTGCATATTAAGACCATAAAACGTGTTTTATTTTTGAACTCTGCGCTGATTTGAATATTTCATGTCGGCTGTTATGTATTTTTGTTTGTAAATGAATACCGCTAACTTAAACTGAACGATGTTGTCATCAACGCCGGATGCCGACGAAATCCGCGATAGGTATTATTAAATAAGATTTAAGAGCTATTTTATACGCGCTAAATTACAAGAAATGAAAAAATTTCCTGTTATGTTCGGTCACTATCGAAACTGAGGATGAAATCAACTAATTAAGACACAATTTGCCGAGGACGCCTAAACCATCTCGACTAAGTTAAAATACACGATAAGAAAATATTTTCAATCACAAAAGTCCTCGAAGTCTTATAAGTTCTTCAAGTCGGCGTTTATCGAAATTCTTTCATGTCAGCTGTAATATATTGCCGAACCACACATGGACAACGACGCTAGGATATGTGTGCCATATTCGGGATTAAATATAAACACAAAAAAACAGTATTTGAAGTTTGCGATATTTGAATTTAAATTCGATTTGGACATCCCTGCATTAAATTAGTCAGTTTTTAGTTGTGTTTCCAAAAATTAGTTAGTAGTGAATCAATTATTTTAATTGTCATTATGCCTTCCGGTGAGCTTCAGTTTAGTTTAGAATTTTTCTGGGGTTAGGGTCGGGAAAAGGTCTATTCGCAAGAAGTGCATTTTGTTTTTAGTCTTGACGAATTCACCCAACGAGCAAGACGCGGCACGAGGGAAACACTGGAATTTATTCAAGCCGTGTTTCATTATCCACGAAGCGCAAAGCGAGGTAAACGTTGAAAATAATTAACAGCTTTTCGTTAGCAATTCGCTGGAATGTAATAAACGGCTACCCACGAGGTGCAAGACATAGCGAAGCGCCGTTAATGAACGAGGGCAAGGTAAGCGAAAGGCTGGGATTTAATCAATGGCGTTTCCCTTTTAACCACGAGCAATTTATCGTGTTTCAGCATGGCGACACCTAGTGGCGTTGCGACTTAAGTCGTGGTTGCACTGTGTAAATTCCGGTCGGACCCCCCCGTTGAAAATGGCCTGGTTGCGCCACTGCAATAGGCTATTATATCTCAAATGCAAAATGCAAGGCATTGATCGCCTCCCATTTATTGTGTTTCATTGTTGAGTCAAATTTGGTCAGCGGTCCTACGCCCATTTCAAGCGCTGAACAGGATACTTTTGCCACAGTTTTAGATATCACTAGAAAAATAAAATCTGGAGCTCAGTGACAGAGCCATTAAATTACTGCTGATTTTTGTGAAAATTACTTATGTGAGAAAAGCTTTTCATCTTCATCTGTCATTAAGACCAAAAAGAGAAATTGTGTGAAGTCAACGCCCTACTTCAGCTTGCAGAGATTTCATTAAAACTGCGTTTAACCCGTATTATGTCAAAAGTACAGCAGCAATTTTTTCATTCGTTTATTAATTATGTTTTTGACATTTTGGGTTAATTTTGAAGGTTCATCGGTCCGCAAAATTCGTTTTGAAATTTTACCGGTTCAAAATTTAAAAAAGGTTAAGAACCACTGAATAGGATAACATTATTTTTGACATGATAGTCAAATATAAGTCAGCAAAATATAGGACATAGATACCTGCTCCATCAAAATCATCAGCTTCATCAGCCCAATCAAGATTTTTACTAACTGGTGCAGGTGCAGAATCTCCAAGAAAATCTATCAAAGAAATTGTTGTTCCTTTCTTCTTTTTTCCTTTTTTACCTACAAATATAACAATAACACAATTTAGGGATATATAAAATGAGAGTATAAACAACCTACATAAAATAAGAATATTGCTATTTATTCATCCTCAGCATTGCTTCACTACTCCAAACTGCAAACCCCTCTTTTAATTAAAAGACATTCTGGGCCTCCATATCGGCACTGCACAATAAACTAAAAAAAAGCACAACCTAAAAACATTACCATTGGGCTATCTGAAAAAAATAATCCTGATTTACCGAAGTAAATAAAAATTTACGGTAGCACTATAGCATTCAGGAATAAGAAATAAATTTCCTATAAAAAGTATTTCTCATGCGCCCGCATGAACGGTATAATCCTGAAAATTACTGATTCTCATATATCAGACGTCCAGCCGCGATATAATCGTTTGTACACAAAGCAATCTAACGTGTCTGCGTCTAGCATCGGTCAGATATCCAAGAAAGAAAACTCCTATTTGTATGGGCCTATTTCTATGTTAATAAAATGAATATTTTTGTGCCATGCTTCCTAACTAGTATTATTAAGAGTGATTGCGTTCTCAGTTTATAAACCTCTTATATATGTATATTACACTTCTTCGAAGCGGCCAAAGTAAAGACGACACATAAACGCTTTGATAATTTCTCAAAGTTGCAAGGCATCCGAAGTTAGCCGGTTTTACAGTATTGGGAGTCATAGAGACATAACTGACATGGTGCTGCTATTTTTGGGTTAAGATTGAATTTTAAAACAGATCAAGTTAAATAGTCATCCTGTCATCTGATTGTAGAGTGGACTAGATTGGCAGACACTAAAACTGGCCAAGTTACCACTGTACCATAAGGTACAACACAAGGTACGGTACTATATCAACAATTGACAATAAAGTCAGAAAGTAGCATAGTGGTAGTCATAACGTAACCACATCAAATTCATGCTCCAATGCTACAGTTTAATTATGGGCAGAAGAGTGTAAAAAATGAGAGAGCTTATTTTTGTGGGCTTACCTGTCGGCTGTGATGGCACTTGCTGAGAAGACATGGTTATAAGAAGACGCCTAACTGGTTATATTCCAAATAAACTTAAGATTTTCTTCACTGAAACCCAATGAAAGATTAACTCAGTTACTGGTTACTGTATACCATACTGGTTTAGGTATAACAAAGAGCTCGAGGGCTAGGGCGAATAACAATGCAGAAAGTCATGCTCCAAATAGGAGCATTGACAAATCTACTTTCAGTATGACACAGTTCTCTGATTCTGAGAATAGCTCCCATATCTGCATATTGAAGAACATCAATTAAAACAGTAAGTGCAAACCCCTCTATTACGAGACAATTTGGGCCTCCATAATCGACAATAATTCAAAACTCGCACTGCACAATGAATTAAAAGGAAGCGCAAGGGTTTCCTCAGAAAAAAATAATCTGATTTACCAAAGGAAAAAAATTACCGCAGCTCTTTAGAATTTCTAGCCAAAAATCAGAGAACTGTGCCCTACTGAACACTGCCGAAACTATGCAATGTCTGAATATAGGCAGAGATGTCAAAAAAGATTTAAAACTAGTTTTAGTCCCTAAATGCATGTGTCATCGAATTTCTGGGTACTGTCTGCATATTTGTAATGCCAACCTTGAAATTATGTGATTTTAACAAATATCATTCCTGACATCGGAATTGTGATAAAGACTTAAATCTCAAGATCCCAATCCCAGTTGTAATAGATAAAAAAATATTTTGCTAATAAATACAAATATCTGCCAATGGTTTGGTGTACGCTAAAATTGTTCAGCGGGCCGCATGCGTCGGTGTGTGCCATAGTTTGGACCACCCTGTACTAACTCATTGAGTGGACATTCATTGGCGGTTAAAAATATGCCCAATTTGAAACATAGGCTATTTGATAATCCTGTAATCCAGGATGGCACACTATATGATGGCGTGTTGACGATAATACATGAAAATCACATTTTGATAACAACATATATGATATCATACTTTATTTGAATTTGGACACCAACAATCTAGACTAAAACAGTAAACTTAATAACCCGATGAGGCATTAGATGATTTAATTTATAAAAACAATAACTTGAGCCAATGCCACAACGAGGCATTCCTATGCCGCAAATGTTCAACTTTATGATTTATACAAGAATAGATCGAAGAAAACGAGAATCAAATTAGCAGAATCATTTATTCCAATGCTGCATCGAAGCATTCATTTGCCACAAATGTTCAACTTGCGTAATTTATACTGTTATACGAGAATAACTCAATTCAATGCCACATTGAGAAATTCACCAGACTGGATTCCATGGCAGGTGCAAGGCCGAGGGCACTAGCGCTCCAGTAATAGAAAGATGCCGACAAATTGCAGAATTGTAGCTCCACAACTGTTGACTATACTCTAGCTTCCAAGATTTGGCCTAATTGAAAAATGCATAGCAAAAAAGACCTTATAACTTATCGATCTTGATCGGTAAGTACAGAAGTATGTTGATAGGTATTTTCTGTTAGATACAAGCGATATCTCGCAAAAGCGAGGTAAATCTGCTCCAAATTTTGCATGTGCATTCATCATATCTCGGACCAGAAGCCTATTAATTTTGGATGAATTATGTCATAGCGTATATGGAATGGAATTTCTGATTGCACCCCCAATTTCTTGTTGGAAAAGATCATGAAATCCAGACTGCTGGACTGGGGCATTCAAGACATCAGACTGCTCACGCATCGAGCTTCCAGTCGGCTCGAAGTCCCTGGTTTCAGAGACACACATGCATTTCTTCGATGTTTCAGAATACAGCCGCAAATCCGGAATCGGATGCTGTACTGACAGCCGCATCACACTGTCACAACACTTTAAAAAGTACAGTACGGTATATTCTGAAACACTATTGAAAAACAAATACCCATCAGTCACCAAAGTTACCCCAGCCCACACTCGCTCAGCCCACACTCAGCCTGACGTCAAGGGGTTAACCAACTATTTTACTGACTTTATAAACGTAATTACATAAAAACTCGGTGACTCTGACAATATAGAGACCATATCTGATATACACAACGCAAATACAATACCAAGCACGGCCCAGTTACCTCTAGTATGGCCTGACAAAAACGAGTGTGGGCCAGCGTCACACGAGTGTGGGCTAGCGTCACACGAGTGTGGGCTGGCATCCCACGAGTGTGGGCTAGCGTCACACGAGTGTGGGCTGACGTTCTGACAATGTTTCACCGTAAGTTAAGGCATCCTCAACGTTCACAGATTACTAAATTACATATATCCATGTTTAACTCAGCGCCAGAACCTCTCAAAGTCCGGCAATTGATGGCACAAAATAGCCACAATTGCCGGGAAAATGAATCGAAATCAGCTGAACAATGATATCTCTAATCACTGTTGCCAGATATATAGGTGGACAAGCATGAATTCACAGGAAGGTTTCACAACAAAAAAAATTTATATCTAAGCGAATATCAAACCTATTCATTTCCATCAATAAGAATGAGGTATGAACAAATCGAATCTGATTTGCACAAATACATCTTTTAAAATAAAGATTGAACAAGCAAATTCAAAAGCAAATTAAGTAACATTTACCCAAAGAGATATATTGTCTTGATGGCTTTGAAGTCTGATTTCGGCACTTCTAATACTTTGTACGCCATGAAATCGACTTATTACATTATATATCCAATTATCCAACAAATAACGAAAAATTTGAAAATTCTACCGGGGGGAAAGACTTTGAAATAAAAAAAGAATCTACCTATGTATAAAGATAATCCTATTTCCCGACAATGGTATTTTATGACAAAATGCAACAAGGAATTCAAACTTTTCTATCAATTTGTACATCACGAAATTTGCTTATTATATATATAGTGACTTATCTTATAAATACTGAAAAATAAAAAAATTCTACCGGGGTGAAAGACTTTAAAATAAAACCGGAATCTACCTATGTCTAACGATAATCATAATTTCCGATAATGGTATTTTATGACAAAATGCAACAAGGAATTGAAACTTTTCTATCAATTTGTACATCACGAAATTTGCCTATTATATAAAATACTGACTCATCTTATAAATACTGAAAAATAAAAAAATTCTAACGGGGGGAAAGACTTTAAAATAAAACCGGAATCTACCTATGTCTAACGATAATCATAATTCCCGATAATGGTATTTTATGACAAAATGCAACAAGGAATTGAATTTTTTCTATCAATTTGTACATCACGAAATTAGCCTATTATATAAATTAGTGACTCATCTTATAAATACTGAAAAATAAAAAAATTCTACCTGGGGGAAAGACTTTAAAATAAAACCGGAATCTACCTATGTCTAACGATAATCATAATTCCCGATAATGGTATTTTATGACAAAATGCAACAAGGAATTGAAACTTTTCTATCAATTTGTACATCACGAAAATTGCTTATTATATTATATAGTGAATTATCTTATAAATATCAAATATTGAAAAAATTCTACCGGGGGGAAAGACTTTAAAATAAAACCGGAATCTACCTATGTCTAACGATAATCATAATTCCCGATAATGGTATTTTATGACAAAATGCAACAAGGAATTGAAACTTTTCTATCAATTTGTACATCACGAAAATTGCTTATTATATTATATAGTGAATTATCTTACAAATATCAAATATTGAAAAAATTCTACCGGGGGGAAAGACTTTAAAATAAAACCGGAATCTACCTATGTCTAACGATAATCATAATTTAATTCCCGATAATGGTATTTTATGACAAAATGCAACAAGGAATTGAAACTTTTCTATCAATTTGTACATCACGAAAATTGCCTTATTATATTATATAGTGAATTATCTTACAAATACTGAAAAATAAAAAAATTCTACCGGGGGAAAGACTTTAAAATAAAACCGGAATCTACCTATGTCTAACGATAATCATAATTCCCGATAATGGTATTTTATGACAAAATGCAACAAGGAATTGAAACTTTTCTATCAATTTGTACATCACGAAATTTGCCTATTATATTATATAGTGAATTATCTTACAAATATCAAATATTGAAAAATTCTACCGGGGGGAAAGACTTTAAAATAAAACCGGAATCTACCTATGTCTAACGATAATCATAATTCCCGATAATGGTATTTTATGACAAAATGCAACAAGGAATTGAAACTTTTCTATCAATTTGTACATCACGAAATTGCTTATTATATTATATAGTGAATTATCTTACAAATATCAAATATTGAAAAAATTCTACCGGGGGGAAAGACTTTAAAATAAAACCGGAATCTACCTATGTCTAACGATAATCATAATTCCCGATAATGGTATTTTATGACAAAATGCAACAAGGAATTGAAACTTTTCTATCAATTTGTACATCACGAAATTTGCCTATTATATAAATAGTGACTCATCTTATAAATACTGAAAAATAAGAAAATTCTACCGGGGGGAAAGACTTTAAAATAAAACCGGAATCTACCTATGTCTAACGATAATCATAATTCCCGATAATGGTATTTTATGACAAAATGCAACAAGGAATTGAAACTTTTCTATCAATTTGTACATCACGAAAATTGCTTATTATATTATATAGTGAATTATCTTACAAATATCAAATATTGAAAAATTCTACCGGGGGGAAAGTCTTTAAAATAAAACCGGAATCTACCTATGTCTAACGATAATCATAATTCCCGATAATGGTATTTTATGACAAAATGCAACAAGGAATTGAAACTTTTCTATCAATTTGTACATCACGAAATTTGCCTATTATATAAAATAGTGACTCATCTTATAAATACTGAAAAATAAGAAAATTCTACCGGGGGGAAAGACTTTAAAATAAAACCGGAATCTACCTATGTCTAACGATAATCATAATTCCCGATAATGGTATTTTATGACAAAATGCAACAAGGAATTGAAACTTTTCTATCAATTTGTACATCACGAAAATTGCTTATTATATTATATAGTGAATTATCTTACAAATATCAAATATTGAGAAAATTCTACTGGGGGGAAAGACTTTAAAATAAAACCGGAATCTACCTAATGTCTAACGATAATCATTGCTGTTTTGATTAAGGCAACCCCTCACCGGGTTAGGCCCTCGACAGCAACGAAGCAAGAAGAAAAGGAAGAAGAAGATGAACTACACCGAAGCCGCCTCAACAACGCCTACACCTACAAGCGAAGAAACGACTGCACCGACTACACGACCTCGCACTCTGTTCCTGACAACCACCAAAGACCTGGACTTCCCTCGACTGTTCGACATCCTGAAGACCGACTCAGCGTCCCGCAACTATGTCGACAACATCACGGGACTGTTCGAGGGAAGAAAAGGTCAGTGGATTTGTACTTTTGCCGCCACCGACGAACCCAACTCTAGCTGTCGCGAGCAATTTATGCACGACACAAAGGGTGAAATAAGAGTTTCAGACGGTACTATTACGGTATCGCTGCCCACCGAAGCACCAATCCGAATATCCATTCGGGGGATACCAGGAGAAACGTCTTACAGCAAGGCCGTGTCTACAATCGAACGACTGCAATGCGGAAAAGTCCGGAATGCCACCAGGAACTGTTACAGAGGTACGGCTATTTATAATGGTTACACTTCATTCTTTATTGAAAATTTTAAAAAGGACAGGTTGCCAGACTACTTGATCATCGACGGGAAAAGTTGCAAAACTTACTTACCCAGGGAATTATACGTGCCAACCTGTGGAAGGTGTTTAAAGCCTGGTCACAACTTCACTGAATGCGAGAGTGAGCCAGTATGTCGCTACTGTAAACAGCTGGGCCATCTTCTAAAAGATTGTCCATCCAGAAGGAAAGAGTTTCTATCGATTTCTGGATCTACATGGACCATCCCAAGACGTCCAAAAACAGCGACCAGAAAACCCACCTCAATCGAAACAACCAAGTAACCAAGATAACTCAGAATCAGCAACAAACCTGGATTTACGAAATGCTTCACAACCTGGACTAATTTTGAATTTACAAAATGCACCACAACCTTCACCAAATTCGGGACTACAGAACAACCAAAATGTCGTACAACCTGAAACAACTACAAAACTGGATATACCAAGCAAAAACGACCACATGGACTTACAACCCGAATTGACTACTCTTGGAAATACCTCGCACGGCACCACAATCAACAGGCATGACAATAGGACCGATCCAGTCTCGGATGTAATTGAATTTTCCTCTTCCACCGAATCAACTGACTTGAAAGAAATTAGCAACTGGTCGGAGTGCGAAGAGGTGGGAAGCGTTTTTAAGCCCTATATCAACACCGCCGAACCTATCGCTGCCCAACCAACAAGGCAGTCGTCCAGACTCAAACAATCATCGACGATAAGCAACACTCCGTATCACCCCCCTTCCAAAAGCAATCGTATGTTAGAGTAATGGTGCACAACATCCAGGCTCCGGACTTATCAACATCTTCCGTCTTCTCTACTACACCGGATGAAACATCCTCTGCACCAGCAAATATGGATATAATAAATCTAAACCAACTGTGGACTTACCTAAATCAAATCTCGACAATTCGGACTATGCAAACAAAAGAAGCCGTGAAGAAACTTCATCAGACTCTTCATTCTCAACTTCCTTGAAATTCAAACTAGCTGGCAAAAAGAAAAAGTAGTTGTAAGTAATTCGGACCCCACAAATCAAATTTCAATACTCTGGACATTCATTTCGGCCTCTAAACATCACGCGTACAAAAATTTGCCCGGTTGAAGGCATAAAACTCACTAAGATAATACCATCCCACTTATAGCGGATGTGATGAATGGAAGACTACCCTCTTTATGTGGTATA